CCCCACCCCCCACCCCCACACACACACACACAGCCACAGGCGAACGCTCTTCTAAAACATAAAGTTGAAGGCGACAAACAGCGTTGAGACAAAGAGGAACGCAAGCGTCATGGCGCCCTTCACGTTGCTCTCGCTCGTCGGGATATCGTTGCCAACATCCGCCGCCACAATCAAACAATCCTTCCGCAGTCGACCTTCCATCATCGCTAGCAGCACCGCCGGGTCAGCATCGCGGCCGTTAGCGACGACACAGCGAAGACTCAGTTCCTCGTCCGTGTACGCGGGTGTTGTCTTGACGCCCTCCGCTGGACTGGACGCCGCGTGTGCGGTGATGGCAGCTGCACTTTTTGCTGTTGTGTGTAACCGAATGTCCGCCTCTGTTTTATCTGGCGATGGTCCAAGGTGTGGAGCGGGGCCGCCTGCACGCAGGAGGCGAGAAGGGTGAGAATGATGGAGAGACCGACCACCGTCAAGCGCACGCGGTTCGCTACGACGACCATGAGAATGCGTTTCACGGAATGCTCTCCCCTCCTCGTTGCCCTCCTCGCTCTTGTCGTCTGTTACGTGCACCACGAGGCGCAGCGACTTCAGTGCGATCTTGGCCGTGTCATCCGTTTGTTCTGCGGCGTGTGGTGCCACCTTTGCAGGCACCGCAGGGATCGCTTTCACCCACCTCATCGCCGCATCCGGTTGTTCGACAGGTACAACAGAAATTAGGCGTGGGGGGATCTGCTGCTGCTGCTGCTGCTGCGGTGGCGGCGGAGACGCAGACCGCACAGCATCCCGGTGTCGCGGGGATGCCGGCCGACGCGGCTCGGAGAGAATTACCGAGACGGGCGCGTTCGCTTTCGCGGCGGCGTCTGCGATTGCGGAATCGTGAGCTGCCTGCCGCCTCCGTGCGTGTCTCCGCGTGGGAGGGACGTCTGGATTGTCGGCCGGGTGCCCGGGAAGGAGCTGGTCCCCGTCGAGGAGGTACCAATCATGCCGGTCCACCTCTCGCACCAGCGTTGTCCGTCGTGCAGTGACGCGGGGAGGTGCTAGAGGAGACGACGGTGGTGACCGCACCGCGGCGGTGCTTTCATTTAGCAAACCTGTTGGCTGGCTTGGTGTGACGGCGAAGACACCAAGGCTGCAGAGCAGCGCGCAGAGGACGAGGATGACGGTTGCACCCCGCCCTGAACGGCGAGGGTGAAAGAGGGGGTGCATGAGGCTGATAAAACAACACAAAAAACACACAGATTAATAATAATAATAATACTAAGTAGAGAGAGAAGATTACAGAAAACGAAGAACACACATATACATACTACTTATATTACTCCTTTTCCTTTTTTTCCACCTCTTGTGAGTGCTGTGCTTCGCAGTGAAGACAGAACAGTACTTCTGCCGTTCCACGCAATGAGACGGGCGCAGCGGAAGACGGGTAAGATGCAAAGTGAGAAGGAGATGAAAAGAAAGGCAAGGAAGCTGCGTTGTCGAGTCGGCAGACACGTTAGCTGCAGCGACAGCACCAATCGCAAAACCACCACCGCCATCACACACAAAAAAAGTGTGTTGGGCTCCCTGCCGGTTAGGCGACGGAATCCGCAACGATGTGCTCGGCTTGCGTTGTGCGTACGACCGAGGAAGCAGCCTCACAGACGCACACACCATAACATGAAGTACCGCAATTCTTCTGCAAATGTCTGTGTGTGTGCGCGTGTGTGCACGCGTGTGCCGGTAAGGCAACAGAGTAACTCTTGAAGGTAGATTGCTTCTCTTCCGCACAGCTTCCATTTGCTTGATTAACGCAATTCATACTGTTTTGTTTGGCGCTTTTCTTTTTGGGTTTTGCGAGTATGAAGAAAGAAAAAGAGCGTGCAGATGTAAGTCAACCACCACCACCACAACACCACCACAACGTCACACCAATTACAACGCCGATGACACGCTGTTCCACCGACCCCCACATATCTACCCTTCCCGTAGCACCGCTGGCAGACAAACGAGGGCGGATAACCGGGAGGGTGCGCAAGTGACACATGGCTAAGGTTCTTCTTTTTAAGTTTCTTTATCGCCAGGCGCGGCTGCGGCTGTGGCGTCGTCCATCATATCTAAAAACGCAGAGGCGTGCTCGACCTTGTCCCAATCCTTCTTATAGAAGAGATCGTAGCCATCATTCGCAGCAAAGACCGGATTTGTGTGCTGCTCCGCGGTGAAGTCCTTCAATACCACCCCATCGTACTTATCCAACTCGCCTACCACCGTCGGTTCATAGACGACTTCGCGAATGCGCAGGATCGTTGCCGCGTGCTGGGCGTCCACCCACCGCATGCGACGCCGCCCCGCCGTCGTGAAGAGCGACACGACGTTGCGCATCCTCTTCTGCTCCTCCACGTCCGCCGTCACGCGCACGTGCTCCAGCAGCGGGCGGCCGATCGCGGTGAAGCGTGGGCCGCCGACCATTAACACCTTCTTTAACGCGATTTGACTTCCAATCGGCGCACGCAGGCGCTGAACTGCGATGACGTCGCCAGGAGCAACTTTGTACTGGTGGTTGCCGCAGTACACCACCGCGAACTTCGGTCCATCCAGGAGGGGCTGCAGCGCCTTGGCGATGGCGGGGTTGGCGGACCGCAACATGGTGAAAGAGACTACGCAACAGCGACAATGACAACACCACCAAAACTAAGAGAAAACAGAGGGGAAAAGTAATCGAACGTTACTTGCCAGAGGAAAGCAAACCATTAACGAATAAAGTTGTTTCATGTTCGTACTTGACGGACGCCGTCAGATCTGGCCGAGAGAGGCGCTGCAACACACACGTGGGGTCTTTCCTTCTTCTGTGAATCGTCAAGTGTGGTATACATATATGTATGTCTCCTTCGTTTGCTTTTCTTTGGGTTTTCTCTTGTAAACGGAACAGCACGGACGCGAGTGCGCCATTCAACTTCTTTTCAATTCTTCTTTCAGCCGTCAGCAGTCGTCAACGACAACAACGAGGAAAGAAGTCCGCTAGCCAACTTTTACATCCCGGCAAAGCGCTGACCATACTCACCCGGCGTCAGTCGTAGGCTTTTTGCAGCGCCCGGCGATCGCGACGGCGTACGCTGCGACATCTCGTTGCTCCCTCCTTCACCCCAACTACGCAGTGGTGCTTGGGATGGTGTGGAAGCCGCCGAGGCGAATACCGGTGGCCGCGGCGGCTGCCACGCATGACCGTTTGGGGAAAACAATGGAGAGGCACCACCGCCACCCGTTAAAGACGTTGGTGCGCCCGCGAGCAGTGGACTGGCGTGGTCGCCTCGTTCGTGCCGCAGTAACGTCTGCAAGGTCGTCAGGGCCTGCCGGTCCGCGACGTGCGCCGCCTCCAGCTGCCGCACCTTCTCCTCCAAGCTGCGGATGCGACGCGTCTTGCGCTGAAGTTCGTAGTGCAAGCCGAGCGGGTCCTCCAGCGACATCATCACCACGTCCGGCGTACGAGAGCGGCGTGGGGAGCTCTCGTCGTCTTCATTTGCTTTCTTTGGGCTCTTCTCCTCGTCGCGGCTGTCGACCGCGCCAGCGCCGTCCGCTGCCCTCGCGCCGCTTGTCTGCGTCGACTTCGCTTTCACGATGGGCTTGACGCTTGCCACCGCTGCAGACGCCACGACGTCTTTAAAAAGCTGCCGCTGCTGCATTACGAAAGCGTCCTGCACGAGGTTGTACTTCGCCTCCATCCAGTCGGCTACGCAGCTCTCCCGTGCCGCCCACCACGCCGCTGTGCCACGTTGCATGCGACCCTGCTGGGCGCTCTCGGCGTTGCGCGCCACCGCCGACGCCTTCTGCGTGGCGTGCAGGGCGTCGACGGTGCGGGTGTGCGCCTCCTCCTCTTTCTGTAGCCTCTGCATGCTTTCCTGCTGTCCTTGTTGTGCATCGGAGAGGTGCTGGCGGAGCGTCTCGAGGGCCGCCTCGTGCCGCGATGCCACCGCCGCTTGCTGTTTCGCATTGTCGCCGCGCAGCAGCGACACGTACGTCTTCTCAAGAAAGGCGGTCGTCGCCTCCGCTCGGTCAGCGAGGCAGGACGCACGCGAGGTCCACCACGCCGCTGCGTGGTGCAGAAAGCAATTTGTAGCGGTGTTCATGGCCGCCTGCGCTGCCACGTGTGCGGCGTCGCCGCGCTCCACCTCCGCCACCGCGCGTGCGTGTGCGTTGGCATGCGTCTGTACGCTTTTCTTCAACTCCTCCGCGTCGTGGTGCGCAGACGCCAGTGCGTCTTGCAGCGACTCGATGGCCGAAGCATGGGTGGAAATCGTGCCTTGTAAACCCGCCACCAACTCGTGCTGCTCCTTCTCGCGCGCTTGAAGCACGTCGTGGTAGCTGTCGCGGAAGAGCAAGAGTTTTGCGTCTATCCACTGCGCGGTGACGGTTGCCCACCCGGCACACCACGCTGTCGTGCTATCACGCACGTGCGTGTCTTGCGCTGCGTGGTGTTGCCGAAGGGCGGTCGCCGCGGCGTGCGTGGCGGCCATCGCAGCAGCCTCCCGCTCTGCCGCCGCCAATCTCCGCTGGAGGTCGTCCTCCCGCACCGTGGCTCCCTCGCGCGTGACGGCCAACGCAGTTTGGAGCGCGTCCACCGCAGCCTTCTGCGCCGTCGCTGCCGCCTTCGCGCTGGCCACCGCATCGTCAAGCCGCCCATCCTGCAGGTGAACGCGTTCGGCGTAGACGCGCTGCAGCAGTAGTGCCTTCTCGTGGCACAACGCGGTACCCAACTTGGCGAAGACGGTCCACCACGCGGCGGTGTCGCGCTGGAACCGCGGCTCTTCTACCTGGCGCGCCACCTGCGCAGCGATCACCGCGGCCTGCGCTGCCTCCAAAGTCATCCTAGTTCGCCCATGCGCCGCTTCTTCTGTCATCCACGAGTCCCTACTCGATTGTGCGTCGCGTGTTTTGCTCTTCAGATCGCGACGAAGTGCCGCTACCTCGATGACGTGTAGCGCCTCGCTATCCACCCCCCTCTGCTGCTCTTCGAGCAGCTCCTTCTGCAGGTACTGCTGCGCAGCGAGAAACTCCGCTTCTTTTTCCGCTTGTTCTCGCAGTTCCACAGCTCTCGCAGCACCGTTGTCGGGCGGCGCGGCGAGCACGGCATCCGTCTGCACACCGACGTCGTCCACCTTCACCTTTGTGCTGTAATGGCCGTTGCTGCTGCTGCTGCTGCTGTTGATGTTAAGGTGCGTCTTCGAGTTGCGCAGAGGAGAAGCTTCCAAGGCGCTCTCGAGCTCCGACACACGCCGTGCCAGCTTCGCGCATTCCTCTTCTCGTGCAGCGGCTACGGCGGCAGCTGCGCGCTTCGACTGCTCTTGCTGCTCCTCCACACGTGCTTCCGCAGCATGTAGACGACTGAGGACATCTGTAATGTGTCGCCGGAGGCCCTCTTCACGCTCCTTCAGTTCCTCTGCTTGCTGCTGTAGCGCGGACGTCAGACGCTGCTCCTCCGCTTCGCTCTTCTTCTTCCCATCGCTGTCGTCTGTTTGGCCCACCACGGATGCGTTGCCCGGATGCGGTCCCTCTGCATCGTGAGAGCTTGGCCGTGGACCCGCTGCCAACGGCTCCGCGCTGCCCACCGGCGACAGACTACGACTGCGACTACGACTGGTGCTGCGTCCGTGACGGCGCTGCAGCCGCCGCTGCTCCCCGTCCAGTTGCTGTGAGAGCTGATCCACCTGCACCGCACGAGCGTGCCGCTCCGCTGCCAACAGGGCCTTCCACTGTTCAACGCGGAAGTTGGCGTTGCGCATGTCCGCCTCCAGCTCCCGCACGCGCCGTTCGGCTAACGCGAGGGAGGAGGAGGTCGTGGTGGCGGTGGTGAGGAACTCCGTGTCGTGAGGAGTTGTTTGCGATGCGGCGGCTGCAGTTGTTGTTGACACGGCGGCTTCCATCTCGTCCGGTTGCGCGGCACCGTCACGACCGTGCGGCGTTGCTTCCACGTCTGCCTTGAGCGGTGTAGAAGGCACCGTTGGGGAGAGCAAAGTGTGCTGTTGTGGCTGCTGCGTAAGCGCACGCAGCGCGGTTGTGTCGACGGTGCTCACCGCAACTGAATACCGCGCTGGGGTGAGAGGCGGGGGTGGATGCAGCTGCAGCCTCTCGAGCTCCACCTCCTGCGAGGCTACCGCCCGCTGCAGCGCCGCCTCTGTCGTCTTCAACTTGTGCTGCAGACGCGCCATTCCCTGCGCCTGCGCACGGGCGGCCGCCTCCGCCGTATCCAGTTGCCGACGCAGTTCTGCGACAGTGCTGCTTGACCCGCCGAGGCGCTGCTGCAAATCCGCCAAGGCGGTGACCGCCGCCTCGCTGCCGCGCGTCGGGGTGTGTTCCCGCCACGGCGACGACGCTGCGGGCGAGGCGGACGTAGATGGGGATGCGGTGGCTGCCGGACGTGGCGTGCGAGGCCGTGTACTCCTCGGCGTTGTCTCTGTCGCCGTCGACGCAGGGGGAGGAAGAGGGGCAGCATCGTCGACCAGCTTCAACCCGCACGTGTTGGCGTTGCTGCCGCCTTCTTCCTCGCACCCCACCACGGTCGTGTCAACGGGCAGCGGAGCACCAACGTGTTCGCTTTCGTCGTCAGCCGAAGACTCCACATCATCATCATTATCGCCATCGTTTCCTTCCCCTTCGTCGCCGTTCTGCTTGAACGCAGCATCTTTCATGGCGTCCCGTGTTGGGGAGGGCGACTGGGTCGTCAGCGAGATACACCGCGCTACGTGCGGTGCCGGCGGTGGCGACGCAGGACGCTGCTGTCCACCAACACGTTCATCTGCATCATCGTCACGATGCCTATCCGGCGTGTTGTCGGCTGCTTCGTGAGTTTCATCGCCGGCTGCGGAAGCGGGTTGTGGCGGCGCGTTTACGGTGCGGGACGCGGCTGGGCTGCCCGCCGATGAAGAGGATGTGACAGACGGCATAGGAGAGGAGCGGCCAGACACGATGGCATTCGATGCGCGGTTAGATGAATGCTCCGAGACAGGGGACAGTGAGGAGCTGGAAGAGTCATCGTCATCGTCACTGCTGCTACTGTCATCCGTTACTTCGTTAACGATGCGTGGTTCGTCAGCGGCTTTGCCGCGGATTCTGTGCCGGTGACGATGCTTGTAGGGCGTCACCTCTGCCGTCTCTACCGAGCACTGCGAACCTGCGCTGTGATTTTTTCCGTCGCGTGATGGCTGCCGCTCCCCATCACTGCCGCTACCGCCGACGCTGTCGCGGCTGCGTGCGGTGCCGCACCGCTCCTCAGACGGCGACTGCCTGTTGTCGTCGTTTGCGTCGGTGCGCTCTTCGATCGGCACAGGGGTGGGTGTTTGCGTGCTGGCGTCCCCGCACGTTGGGCGACGTTCTGGCAGTGTCTGCTGCGCGCAGTCGTGCCGCGTGATCGTCTGCACGTTAGCCGTGGAGGTCTTTACGGGCAATTCAGTTTGCTTTAACGTTGCGGACGCCTCTGCTCCCACCTTCGTGTTGCAGAGCTCAGCGATAGAGGGCCCACCGTCGCTTTCCCTCTCTCCTTCTTCATCATCCCCTTCCCCCGCTTCGCGCTCGGCACGGTGCGACTCCGAGTCCTTCACGCTCGACCGCTGCTGTTGTGGCGGTAGCGGGTGTACGGTGGTGGCATTGGCGGTGTTGGGTGTGCCGTGCGACGTCGCAACTTCTGTGGCGGTGGTCGGACTCACCTCCGCTTCCTTCACGGATGACGCAGCGGGGTCCGGGTAGACCGAAGTGGGCGTCACGAGCCGTGGGAGGACCTCGCCGGCACTCAAGCTGCTCGACGGACGGCGCTGCGGGGCGTCGCGTGCCAGCTGCGATGACGAGAAGGCGGTCACCGCCGGTCCGGCGCCTAACGCCTGACTCGTGAACGCACCGGCGTCGTCGTCTTCGCCGCTGGATGAGGTAGAGATGAGTGTGCTGGAACGCGTGCCGAGCAGCGGCATGGGAACGGACAAGAGTGTGTAGGCAGTGCTAGTGCGACGTACCGGCTCGTACAACGGGTTGAAGAGCTGCGAGGGGCCGACACTGCCGAGGAAGGAGCCGTTGCGATGCGGCTGCTGCGGCTGATCGCCGAGGGCAACGACAGACGTCTCGGAAGGCGTCGGGCACGGCGGGCCGCGCATGCCTTGGCTGAGAGATCGGAGTGCGAATGCACGATCTTGCAGCGGACTGTCGTGGTGCTTCACTCCCTCACCATCACTCCCGCCTCCATTTTCGCCGCCGCGCTGTGTACTATCAAACGGATGTGGTGAGAAGCTTTCTTCTGTTCCCCCCTGCGGCTCCTCCGCCGCTGCCGCCGCTGCGTCTCGCTCCGCACCCGCCAGCAGCCTCGACAGATAGTGGCAGCGCTCGACAATGCGGGCCTGCTCGGCTCGTGCCTGGTTCAAGAAGTCGTACGAGGCGGATGGCAGCGGCGGCGGTGGAGTGGGACTCAACGAAGTCGGCGGCGACGACGTCGCGGAGGGGCTCGCGGACGATTGCCGCGGCGCGACGGAAGACGGCGCGACCTCTGTCGGGGTGCTGAACATGGGTTGCTTGGCGCCTTCGGTGGTGGCGGCGGTGCTCACCGGCGGCGCTGGTTCCTCCAACACGAGGGCCAGCTCATACTGCGTCGCCGCCGCTGCCAAGTCGCGACACGCCTGGGTAATGTCGTCCAGCACCCCTTGAAAGCGCGACACCCCTTCAGGCGGGACAGCGTACTCCTCCCACCTGTGCTCGACATCGGCAGCGTCGTTTTCTCTGCTCACTGTGACGAAGGGAGGCGGCGGTGACTCCGGGGGAGACAGCGGGGGTAGCGAAGTCGTTAGGGCTGAGGCCGCATCGCCGGCATTCGTTGAGGGTGCACTGCCGGCTTCTTCGTTTCCGTCTGGGCGTGCCGTTGCGTCAAAGGAAGGCTTCGGGGTGTCGGTGCCGCGCTGATCGTACCGCGCTGGTGGGCGGAGGGGCATCGCCGTCTGGGTCGACGAGAACGTGCCCTGTCGTTGCTGCGGCATCTCCGACGGTGCGTCATTCACCACCCTTTCCGCCTGCCGTACCGCCTGCACCGCACGCTGGGAGAGCAGGCTCCAGCGTGGCAGCACCCAGCCCTGGAGCAGCGCGCCGACCAACGCCCGTTTCGCTTCCTCCACGAAGGGGCTGAGTAAGCGGCTCTCCACGACGTTGCCCATCCGCAGTTGCGCGGCAAAGTGTGGAGAGGACGAGGAGGGTGATGAGGGCATCCGCTGCGCTGTAAGCACCGGATCAGCAGCAGCAGCAGCACCTCTTTGTGCGCCGTTTTCCTCGGCAGCTGCCGCTGCTCCTTCCGTTGGAATGGGCTGGTCAGATGGCGCCACCGGCGTGGGTGGTTGAGTGGTCTGCGGCGGCACGTCCCGTGGTGCCAACTCCTCTTCCCGCGCTCCGCGTGTTTTCCCTGTGGCGGGGGTCGTGCGCTCCTCTCTCGTGCTGGCGCCAAAGACGGATAAGTGAAAACGCTGTTGGGCGGGCGTAACGGCGTCGAAGGTCAAGAAACTGGACGGAGACGTCATTCCCCGCGAGTCTGACATCTGCTGCTGCTGTTCCTGATACGGCACCAGCTTCAACCAACGTGGAGAGACGCGAGGGCGCATCGCGGAGCCATCACCACCACCGTCCGCGGTCGTAAAGGGTGTGAGAGGTCCGTCGACAACGTCGCTGACGTGGAGGGCGCCACCACCTGCCTTGTCCGGGAGACGTGATGACGGTGTGGTGGCCCCGGTGATGGAGTGAAGAAGATTCGGCGGGGAGGTGAGACTGACACTGCCCGATGGCGCTACGTCGATGGTCACCGCGGAGGGGTTTGCTGCTTTCACCTTCTCCCCCCCACCGTCGCGATTGCCGTCGCCCTGCGGTGGCGGTTCTACCGGGAATAAATTGCTTTTACTCATCAGCACGCCAGACGTAGAGGCGGTAGTCGCGGTGTTGGCGGTAGCGGCGGTTGTGATGGTCGCCGCTGTCGTTGACGTTGTCGCTGCGGTTGTGGCGGCAGTGGTGTCCGTCACGTGGGACAGGTCGGATGCGTAGTAGGGCAGGAAGCGGCCTCCAATGCGAAGTGTTGAGGATGGTTGCATGCGTACAGGCGAGGCGGCAGTAGGCGAAGCAGCGGCGACGGCGGCCGCGAAGTCATTCACAGCTGCTGCTGTTGCTGCTGCACCGCTTCCACCGCTAAGCCGCATGGGACGCAGATCGCACAAGACGGAGCTGTGAAGATCAAAGCTGTTGTCGGCGTCGAGCGCAGCTGGATTCCACGCACTCAGCAGCGCCAAGCACGAGCCGTTTGACTGCTGTGGATGGAGGGATGTCTCCATTGGTGTGGCGAAGGTGGCCATGGATTCCTTTTGCGGGAGCTGCGCCTCGTCAAAGCACAGAGGAACAAAGGTGTTAAGACGGCGCTGAAACTGCTGCTGCTGCTGTTGTTGACCAGCGCTGGCTGCGCCTTCCGCCGTCGGATGATCCTTCTCGAGCGACGAAGGAGCCGGGCTGAACGGCTCCAGCACACGCACCCCACTGTTGTTGATACTGCTGTTCTGGATTACGTGCGGCTGGAGGCTGCCGCTGCCCTCCTCCAAGCCTTCTTCGTCTTCTCCTAAGCTGAGCTCCACCGCATGTGGCGCCCCAGCCCCGGTCAAGAGATGCGGCAACACAAAACACTCTTCATACAGCTGAAGGACCTGCCCGACCAGCACACACAGCCCATGCTCCGCCTCCACACATTTCCTCAGCAGCGCCGGCACCTCTGCCGCATTCCTGGAAAGCGACGCCGACGACAGCGGCGAAGACGTCCCCGCTGCCGCGGCTATGTCAGACAGAACCAACAGCTTGCCTGCTTTCCACAACTGGAAGAGGGGCCGACAGAGCAGACGCAGTCGGTGCTGCGCGAGACACCAGGTGAGACGGCGCAGGGCTAGGTCCAGCGGCCGCGTCACACCTTCTAACGTTTCGCGCTGCACACGATAGAGGCTAATGGCAGAGAGCAGTTGGAAGCGCTGGAAGACGTCGGGTGGCAGCGTGGGCGACAGGGCGGAGATCGCCGGCGATGCGACAGAGAGAGCTTGTCCGTCCTCTCTTTTCAGCTCCCCCTTTCGAGAACCGATCGAGGCAGCGCCACTGCCGCTTTCGTCGTCGTCATCAAAACCACCGTGTTCGTCGTCGCTGGGCTCTGCCTCTGCGTGGACGACGCGTTGAAGCTGCGGCGGCACACCGACCAAGACTACCGGTGCCAACGCCGCCCGCACCACCGCCTCAGCGACGCCTTTGGCGAGTAAAAGAATATCATCGCATTGGAACGCAGTCGTGTGGCGCGCCTCAAGGACATCGACACCTGACGGGGACGAGTCGAGCCGATCGTTGACCCCCGACGTGTCCCCTCCATTTGTATTTGCATCTGCTGCGACTGAGGTCTTATCATCGTTATTCGTTGTCTTGTCGATCTGACACGTGTGCTGGAGCTGTCGGTAGCACGCGTACTGCTCTGCCTGCAGTCCTGCCAGCAGCAACGCCACTGCGACATCACACGCCACCCGCACCGCCAGCGTCTGCGCCTCCGCAAAGTACGATGCAGAGCTGAGGTGTAATGTTGGTGAGAGGTCCGCGGCGCGCAGGGGTCTAGTATTCGCTTCATCGGGTAATTCTTGCTCTGCGGGGGCGGCAGCTCGTGCCTGCGCTGTCGTGGTGAGGGGCGCCAGCACCTCCGCCGTCAGCCACCGCCACAGGGCGAAGCTGCGGAAGGGCACAACCGAGGCCGCCGGGGCGCTGCTTCGAACGAGCTTCTCCGCCTTGTAACGATGGCCGGACTTGAGGATGCTTCTCGGAGAGGGCGACAGCGGGCTGAAACACACCGCTGCTGTTGCTGCTGCGGCGACGGCTGTGGTGGTCGGAGACGCTTCTGAACTCGGATTATCCGCCGTGCCGCTGCGGTGCGGTTGGCCCGTGACGGGGGCTTCCAGCAGCGGGGCAAGCTGCTGTGGTGCGTCGCCGGCCGCGTCCTCACGAAAGCTCACGCGACGTTGTTTCTGTGACGGCTGCTGTTGCTGCTGCTGGAGTGCGGAGAAGCTCGAACGGTGCGGCGTGGCCGAAAGCGCGCGGCGCTGCTGCCGCAGAGGGGAGTGCTGCGACGATGGGGGCTGCGTTTCTGCTGGATGGAGCGAGTTTGCGTCTGGTCCCGGTGACGGCGCTGAACGCGCACGACGCGGCCCAGAGCGTGGCGCCGCCCCCGCGGCCGTCGCCGTCGCTTCATCCGGCGCCACACCAACCGCCTCCGACGGCGCCGGCGCGGCGGGGTCAAAGAAGAGTTGATTCAGCAAAAGATACGAAACGAGCTGCTCCTCGGCGATAACGGCGGCCCCGTCGTCGACGCGGATGACACGCGCGCTGCGTCCCGCCGCGGATAGATCGGACGATGCCACGTCAGCGCTGTCGTTGCCGGTGATGGCACCGTCGCTTTCCCGCGACACCATGGCGGCGGTGATGGCCTGGACGCGGCCGAGCAACGCCCGCTGGCGACGTAAGCGATAACGATGACGGCGATTACTTCCACTGCTGTGATTGGTGTCGCTGGTTGACTTCGCCTGCATCGACGTAGTCGTCGCACCTCCAGACGAACTCGACGGCTGGGGCGTCGAGGCTGTGCCCGCAGTGTCCACTTCACCCGCCTCGCTGCAGGTCACCGTTGTTTCGTAGAAGACGGGAATCAACGTGTCGTGCATCCACCTCATTACGAGGTCGTCCAAGGACGCACCCACGGCAGCCGCACGGGGCAGTGGTAGGGAGGGAGAAGGTGCCCGCATTTTGCGCGGTGGTGACCCGGTCATTGGTGGAGGAGACCATGCCGCTGTCGTCGTCGTTGCTGCTGCTGCTGCTGCTGCAGGCGGCTGTGGTGGAGGCACAGCCGACGCGGCCCGCCAACCAAGCAGCGCACGCAGACCAAGACCAGAAGAGAGAAGTCCCTGCCGCGGCGCAGTGGATGGCTGCGCTGAGAAAGATGCGCTGCTGCTGCTGCCACGGTCCCGTTCACCTGGTGCTTCTCTTGCTTGCGCGTCCTTTGTGCGGCGCTCTCTTCCTCCGTCCTCGTCCGTGTCGGGGGAGATACCCTCATGTCGTTGATGGGCATCAAACGGCCTCGCCTGACTTCCGTTCGCCACGTCTTCCACGTCATCCTCGTCGTACTGCAGCGTCCGCGTCGTTGCCGCCTCCGCCGTCAGCAGCGCGGAAGTCTGCGTCAGTGTGAAGAAGAAGGCGGGAACGGAAATGGGCAGCACACTTTCCGCAACGGACGGCTGCGCCCTCGCCGCGGCAGCAGCGGCAGTACTGTTACGAAAGGGGCCCGATGAGGAAAGGAACGAGTGCTGTTTCGGTCGCTGATGTGCGTACTGGCGGGCATTCCGCGCCTCCCGTCGGTGGCGGATGGCTAAGGAAACGTAGCGTGCCGTCGTTTCCACCTGCGCCGGAGTGCCGGCAACGTGAATGAACTGCGTCAGAGAGAGCAGCTGCCGCCAGGCGATACACTGCTGACGTGACAAACACGGTCGGCCGGAGTCGGCGTCTGCGTCTTGCCGCTGGTTCTCTCTTCCCAGCGACGACTCTCTGCTACTTCTTCGCTGCTGTCGACGGTGCGAGGCCGGCACGTCTGCGTGAAAGATCGTCTTGGCATCTTCTTCGTCCTCCAAGGGCAGCGCGTCCGCTTCCGCGTTGTCACGTTCCGAAGCATACGTCACATCATCCCCCGTCACCTCGATCAGCAAGGCGTTGTAAAACATGGGGGTAGGATTGCCGGGCTGGTACGTTGCTACATTAAAATTCGTAGTAGGAGTGGTGGTGCTGTCGTCGCTACATCCCTTTTGATGGCTACCGTTTTGCCTCACCGAAGCAGCCGTCGCGGTAGCTGCATATTTTTTCGCGCTGCTTGTCGTGACCTCCGCGGCAGGAATTAATCGAATACGGAGCCCCCGTCCACTGCCGTCGCGCGGCTCCTTCGCATCATTCAACGCATCACCATAGCCGTTCACGTTTCGCGGCGTATACCGGCGCAGCACACCGACCACCAGCGGGGTCGTGCACATCGTCGAATTGTGCCAGGACGGTGCGAGGCGCAGCAGCTGGCAAAGCGAGCGTCGCACGACGGACCGCGCTGATCTTTGAAAGGCGTCGTGGTGTTTGCTTTTATCCAACGAGTCTTCGCGTGGGGGAGATAAAGAAGAAGACGCGGAGGCAGCTAGAATTGTTGGCGTTTGCTTCAGCAGCAGCCCGATGTCCTTCGCGATGTCCCCCGTAAACATCAACGGTGCGTCAGCTTCTTTGGTACTCACTGCATGTGCGTTGTCCGGATGACCGTCGTCGTTATCTCCTTCCTCCTCCGCGCGGTCAGGGACAACAGCGGCAGACACGAGGGCGTCGGTGAGCTGCGCTAAGAAGTTTTGTACCACCGCATCGCACAGCGCGCCTTCGCCGTCTTTGCTATTGCTGTTGTTTAGCGTAGCGGACAGCGAGGGATCGGCTAAATAGAAGCGCGCAAAGGAAGGAAAGCGTACAGGTGGCACAACAGCGTCAGCAGCAGCAGCAGCCGTGCCGCTACACTGTTCCGCCAAGTTGGTGTACTGAAGCACATCACGAATGCGCTGAAGGAGATCTTTTAGCTCCGTATTTCCCTCCAACAGCGCCTCCTCTGCCTCATCTCGAGGCGGAGTGGAAGCGCTCGTCACCTTTGCCTCGTCTCCCGTCAGCTCGTGGTGGTTTCCTTCGCTTTCGCCGGCAGAGACTTCCGTTTCCACGGTGCTCTTGTTATCGACGAGACAGTCCGACAGAGCAGCCTTGGCCACCTTCGTCGCAAGCGTGTACTGCACCACACGCGAGGGCCACGACGCCACTGCCGCCGCCACCTCCGCCGGCATCAAAGGACGGATGTCGCCGTTGCGGCAGCGAGGAGGACGTGGCGGCGACGCTCTTATCAGCTCCGCTTTTCCCGCGGCGGTATCCACGCCGGTGACAAGTTCATCTTCCGTTTTGGGCGGCGTCGCGTTTGCGGCTTCCGCCGCTGCCGCCGCGCCGTCCTCGAACGCGTCCGCACGAGGACGGTGGCGATCGCCGGCACTGCGACGCCTGCGCTTTTTCTCCTCTTCTGGCGGACTGCTGCGTTGCCCTCGCTCGGCGTGCTCCTCACTTCTGTGGTTCTTCTTGCGGTGGGCCGCCACAGGGCCGGCAGCAGCAGCAGCAGCCGTGGCAGAGGGAGAAGAAGGGTCTTGAGGGGCGGGCGCACTGCCGGAACGCATCCCACCCGGCAGGCGCGTGGGAGTTTGAGTTGGGCGCTGCGACGGGGCGCGTGGTGGCAGCATGCTCGAGTGCGTGTAGGCGTAGAACGGATCCCTCGCTTTGGTGCCGCCTGGTGAGAGCGAGGCCGAAGAGGGCGGCAACGGAGGAGAGGCGGAGAGCTCGGTAGGTGAGCTGCTGGCGCGAGTGCCTTTTCTGCGGTCGCGTGCGTGTTGCTGCTGCTGTTGCTGCTGTTGATCATCCGTATCACCCTTTGCGGCGGCGGAGTGCTTGCCGCCCATGTGTGTTGGAGAAGTTGGAGGACGCGGGGGTGGGGAGTGGGCCGTGTTGCTGGGCCGGGTAGTAATCGCCCTCTCCCCGCCAGCCGGTATCTCTTCCTCCGTCCTTTTCTTCCCTCGCACGTTGACGTCGACGTTGCACGCCTCCTCTTCCTTCGCTTGCTTCGCAGCAGGCGATGGCGGGGTAGAGGCGCCGGCACCGCCTGTCGAGGCCCTCGGTTTGAGCGTCGTGGCCTCCGCCTCCTCCGTGCCGTAGGCAGCCACGCCGACATCGCCGGGCAGCTCCGGCTGACGTGGTACTTCGTTGGGGTTCAAGCGAACATGCATCAGGCACTGCAGCAGTTGTGCTTCCACACGCTCACTCATCGCAATGACACCCGCCTCTTCCGCTCCGTTTCCCTTTCCCACGTCGTCCGAGGAAGGTCTCAACGATGCAGACGTTCTATGTAAATCGGATTTGCGGTCATCGTGCATCGCCGGCGCGTGCGCACGGCCGCAGCGTCGTCGTATATAACGCGCAACGACATGAGCGAGGTCCATTGAGGAGGTGATATCATCATCCGCAGCGGGCGAAGACCCGACGGAGCCGGCAGTTTCGTCCTTCTGCTTCTCCCTGCGTAACGACGCCGCCGCGGACACGCCGCAGCTGTCTTGCTGCATGGCGACTACGACAACTACTTCGCCGCACCCACCTCGGCTTGTGTGGACCTAAAAGGAAAAGTATTGTTGCTTACAAAGACCGAAAGCTGAAAAGGAAAAGATGGCTCTGCGAGAACGAAAAAAAAAAGAATATAGTTCAATCGTTGAGTGGCACATTCACATTCACACGCACACACACACACGAAACAACGTGTTTATACGTACATACATACATACATATATACTGAGAGAGAGAAAGAGAGACCGACGCAGAAAATCCCCCACAGACACAGCAAGAAGAAGGAATGATACAGTTGCGCTAACGCGTTCCCACCAGAAGGGCTGAACGAAAATACAGAAGAAAAAGGTTTGAGGAGGAAAAGCGCGAGATAAAGCTAGTAAAGATGATGATAAAGCTACTGTTGTCTATGCGGAAAAAGAAAAAAACAAGAAGAGGAGAGTTACTATAGTCGCTGTAGTAGTCGGTGCACGGCAACCTTAACGGGAACGGCAAAGAAACATATATATATATATATAGATGTCGTTCTCTTTCACTACGGCTTGGATCCGTTTGCGCGACGTGTCAAGGGGGAGTCCGTTGTGAAGGGAGAAAGAAGGAGGGGAATAGATAGCGAGCTCTTCAGTGTCGGGTGCTGCAACACACAGACACACGCACACCACAAAAAAACATCGAGTTTCTGATCGCCACGTGCGGGTTGACACACAAGGATAATAATGATGATAATAATGATGATGACAGAGGTTGAAAAGAAGAAGAAAAGGGAAGGAGAAAGGAGGAGAAAGTGTGTAGGCTGATACGAACTATCGCCGTGGGTTCGCTCTTATGTTTCCTTAATTCACTAGACTACGAGAAGGAGGAAGAAAGCACGCACACACACACAGACACACAACGGAGGGCAACAGTTTTTCTTCTTTCCTTTCTCCTTCTCGCCGTTAGAATACCAAAGCACACACCACAGCAACAACAACGTAAAAGAAGCTCTGCGGCACGCGAGTGAGCCATGAATACCTGATCCAAAACAGGAAAAAAAAAGAAAGAGGCGCTTTCAATTCCAATGTGCGCGGACGCACACACACATCTGCTCGTTCTTTGGGTTACAGCAAAGCTTACAAATAACAACAGTAACGTGAAAGCACCAGACATCCAACAACAACAAAGAAACGTATACACGGGGTGCGATCCGCCTTTCGCGTTCTTCCGTGAGCTCAGCTGTTCGTGTATGAACGTCATAAGTATTTCCGTTTCTGTTTTAGTTTAATTGCCATGTTGCGCATAGTTTTTTTTTTTGCTTTTAAGAGACTTAAACCGAAATAGAACTTATGGAGCGTTAGCATCCGTTAAATTTACACCCAACACCCAACAACCACAAAAACAAAGCCAGAGCGAAGACCACAACGACAGCGGTACTTCAACGCCTCAAATACGCAAACACTCACCCACACAAGCTTGTGTGCTTCTCTTTTCTTCTTCTGCTTGTCGCTTACTGTCACTCAGTAGACCTTCCTTTCCTCTGCGCTTGCCTCTCCAGCCAGCCTCTGACTTGTCGGTTGTCTCTGTGTGCAGCGAGCGTCGCGCAGGCAGCCGTTTCTCAAGCGTAGCCCGCGCGACTCGGTAGGGACGGAAAAGAAAAAGTTTCTTTTACAACAACAAAGAAAGAAGAGCAAAGAGGCGTCGCCTCCTTTCGCGGACAAAAACTTCGTTCGTCCCCCCCAAAGAAAGAAAAACCAAAACCAAAACAAAACCAACGACGACAACAAACGCCGCTCAGACAGTTCGTTGTCACACACGCAGGCACGAGTTGCCACGGCGAGGTCCACGATCGCAGGCAAAAAAAAAAACAGGGGAAAGGGAGAAACAACAGGAACTGCACGTCTACCGCTCTCCTCCTGCAGCAAGAACAACGGCAGCAACGCCCACGACGCTCACAACAGTGCCAGCGCACTCGCAACGAGGAAAAGGTAAAAACAAAAAAGCCAGAACAAAGCTTAGCACAATGACAAAGGAACCAAGGCCCTGTCCGCGGAAAGGCGTCCCCAAAATTGCGTCATGACGCCTCCCCAGAATTTTTCGTTTACGCACTCGCGTCCTCACGCTTGGACGGAGGCTTGTAGGCACCCGCGCCACCGCTGCTTGGCGGCTTATACGCACTCGCCCCAGAGGACGTCGGCGGCTTGTAGGCTCCCGAACCGCTCGTCGGCGAACCCGAGGAGGGCTTATACGCCTCCCCCGACGATGCCGGAGGACGGTAGGCACCGGCGCCGGTAGAGGTCGGAGGCTTGTACGCACCAGCACCAGGGGATGCCGGAGGGCGATAGGCACCCGTGCTTCCACTACCACTGCCAGCCGTCGACGCCTCCGTCGGGCTCGACGTCTCGACAGTGGACGTCGGCGGTTTGTACGCACCCGCCCCAGAGGACGTGGACGGTGGCTTGTACGCACCCGCCCCAGAAGACGTCGGCGGCTTGTAGGCACCCGCACCGCTCGTCGGCGAACCCGAAGAGGGCTTATACGCCTCCCCTGACGATGCCGGAGGGCGGTAGGCACCGGCGCCAGAGGACGAGGACGGTGGCTTGTAGGCACCTACCCCAGAAGACGTCGGCGGCTTGTAGGCACCCGCACCGCTCGTCGGCGAACCCGAAGAGGGCTTATACGCCTCTCCCGACGATGCCGGAGGACGATAGGCACCGGCGCCGTCGCTGCTGGGCGGTTTGTACGCCTCGCCGGTCGAGCTCGGCGGTTTGTAGGCACCTCCGCTCGCAGACGCCGCCGGCGACCCCACCGCCGTCGCCGCCTTGCTGTGGCTGCTGTCCTTCGCGTGGTGGCCGCCGTCCGCCGAGGGGGCGGGGGAGCCGGCCTTCGCCCCACCCTCCGGCTTCGGTGAGGCCTTCGGAGTCTTTTTCCCGAACGTCTCCTCCAGCGTCGGCAAGTTCTCCATGCTGATGCCCTGCGTCGGCGGCCCGGTGCGGTTCGACGGGCTGGACGCCGTTGGGTCGTGCAGCGTACCCGTCGCGTTGCGGTGGCCGCGGGCAACGAACTTCGCCGGCTTCGCTTCGGCGGCGGCCTCCTCGCCTTCCCCGTCCGATGCCGCGTCCTCGCCGGCCGCCGCCCGCTCCGCCGCCCGCTCCGCCGCGTCCACCGCTGCCCTCGCCTGCTCCTCCGCCGCCGCGGCCTCTTCCTCCTGTCGCCGCGCCTCCTGCGCGACCTTCACGGCGTCCCACGTCTTCGCCTGCCGGGCGGTGCTCGTGGAGGCGAGGTTGACCATCACCACCGGCGCCGCAACCGTTTTCTCCGGGGCCGGCACGGGGGACGCGGCACCGCTGGCTGGTCCGCTGCCTGCGGTGGTCGTCGTCGGCGTCGCTGAGTTGGCGGTGGTGGGTAGGGGCTTTGCCTTGGCGGCGTTCACCACGGCCGCATCGAGGCCGAAGCCGCCGAGGGCAGCCTCCTCACTCGCCTTCTGCTTGGCGGCCTTCTTCGAACCTTTCTTGCTGTTCTTGGCGAGGAAGGCGTCGAGATCCATGGTGGCAATGATCGAGTAAAAAAGTAAAATAAAATCTGTTTATTATAATAGTATACTGTTGCGTGTTGTGTGTGTGTGTGTGTGTAGGGGGCGAGTGGATTAAAGACGGCGAGAAAGTGAAGGGTAAACCTTTTCAAAGTTTTGTTTGAGCTGTGGCGTGCAGTTCACCCGGAGTTCTACGTGCGTGCGTGTGTGCGTTTTACGGTATTACGGTACGATAAACAGCAGGAGAGCAACAAGGAGGAGCAGATCGGGTCAATAAGGTGGACAGGAGCGAGAAAATGAAGAGGGTGCGACGACGCAAACGATGCGGGCTGCGAACAGGGGCGGCATAGCCGCTGGGCGTGGGAGCTACATCTTTTCATTATTTCTTCTTGTTACTTTTTACCCCTCTTTCCGATGACGTAACACGCGCGTGATCGTCATCTACCTCGCAAGTATTACAATTTGATCGGTTCCGCACTTCCTTGAAAGACCGCTGCGACACAGCGACACACACACACACACACACACAGACAGACAGACAGACGCAGGCATAGACAGAAAAAAACAAGAACAAAAGCAAAGCACGCGTAAAAGAGAAAAGGAAGAAGAATCGTGATGACCTTCCGCTGCTGATCAGTTGACTGCACCGCACAACTGTGCTGTGAAGAATGCAATGAAGGCGGCAAACGCCGTAGAACTGCACGCACACACAAAGGTTCACAGGAAAAAAAATATATGAAAGAAAGGAAGAGATGAAAAGCTTCAGAAGAACAGGTTACTGTACAAAACAAGGCGGCTCATAAACAAAAGTAGTAAAACAACAACAACAGTAGCAAACCGACACGAACAAATGCTCCCCAACCCAAATAAACAGCACTGGAGGTATAATCCAACGCCGTACCACCCAACTACAACGCTTACATCAACTTGTTGATGAGCAAAGAAGAAGAAGAAGCGCGCGTGTGTGTGTGTGTGTATGTGGGGAACGACGACGCGCGTAGAGACGGAAATGAGTAGTTTTGACCCCCGAACACGCACAGCAGCAACGAAGGGAAGAATGAGAGGAAAACACACCTAAACCCCCAAAAAACACCCACACGTAGCCGGCACCCCGAGAAGTCGGCCCGTTGCGAACAAACAAGGGAGAAAAACAAGAAGAAAATGAAGTCTTCGAATAACAGCAATAATAATTATAATGCAGTGCTGTTCGACAAAAGAAAAAAATATATGCAAAAAAGCAGATGTTGACGAGATACATTGTGGAGAGGAAGAAAAGCAACAACAACACGCCCGACGAACAACAACAAAGAAGGCAGCAGCAGCAGCAGCAACAGTGGTGAAGCAAAAAAAAAAAGAAGAAGAATGAAAAACGCTCTGTACATAGCACAACACGAATAATGATAATGATAATAATGATACTAATAATAATTGATTACAGCTCTAGAGGTGATGCGGGCTCAACGTGATGAATTACAAGCAAAAAGGGAAACGTATAGTAAAAGGTTCTAAGGAAGAGAGAGAGAAAGAAATCAAGCAAAAACAACGTACTATCTTGTGCTGCTCAGAAAAAAACACAGCAGCAAAAAATCAAAAAATCTGAGAAAGCCACTGCTTCACAGTTAACAACAAAGCTGTCCACAACATACGTTTTGCAGCCTGCACCTCGAGCAAAGACGATCAAAAAAGCGTGTCCACCGTGGAGTAGTGCCGGCTACTCTCCGGAGTGTCGGAGTTGATGGAGGCTCGAGTGCCGTTGCGCTTCTGCTTCTTCTGCCGTTTCTTCTGCAAGCGCTGCGCAACGTCCGATACCTTTCCGGAGCGGTTCAACGACGCAGCGATGCTCTCCGTGTCATCGGCACACAACTCGTCTGTTTGTGCGTCACTACGACTGCTGCGGAGCGCACTTGGAGGCTCACGCGTGACTTCAGGAGACGCGTCTTTCTCCTCTAACCCTTCCGCCGCATCCTCATCGTTGTTATCGTTGTTTTCGTAGCGCATTCGAAGTGATGCCACCGCCAATGCAGCGCCGTCTCTTTCACCGCCATCCACAGATCGAACATGCGTATGACCGCTGACGATGACATCTGCCTCACCTTCCTCTTCCTCTTCATGGTACTCGGGACTGGCGGAGTGGATGTCCGTCAGCCCTTCATCACCGTGTGGGCTGCGTGAGGTGCGGGAGGGCAACTCGAATGCATCGCCGAAACTGCCGTCGTCGTCGCTCGGCGCTGTTTGCTTCAGCAAAAGAAGACGCCGGGTTTGCTTCGGATGTGCGGCGCCGACACCTTTAGGCATCTTCTTGACCCCGGCACTCGTGGCGGACACCGTGATGTCCCGCTGCCGCTGCGCCACCGCGGGCTCTGCGGAAGCCTCACGCGATTCGGCCGGTGACGCGTTGTTCCTCGTGGACTTCGTGTTCTTTTTCTTCTTCGCAGCTGCCGCCGCTGCTGCTGCTGCGGCACTCGCCGCGGCGATGGACGAGCTGCGACGGCGATCTCGTGCCGCTTGGGCCTGCCGTGCCGCCGCTACGTGCGGTGACTTCGTGGGAGGTCGCTGTTTGGATGGTGTAGCGGCCACACCTTCAATCTCAAGCACCCCGCTGCTGAGTCCGTTGCTGCCGTTGTAGAGCGCCTCCGCCTGCTCCTGTAGCCGCTGGAGATCGAGTAGCTCATGCAGCTCCAGCGGCCTTGGGTGCGGGTGAGGATGAGGGGCCTCTGCCTGTTTGTTCCCGTCACTGTGGCCCGCGTTACTCGACGTCCAGTCCGCTTCACTGCATTCACCGTCTTCGTCATCCACGACCCCCCGCTCGTCGCTGTTCTCCGCGGCTTCCGCGCCGCACGTGAGCACCTGCTCGGTTTGATAGAACGAAGGCGGCGCCGAGTCTTGGTGCTCCGCGGTGCCGCGACCACCGTCTCCACCGGGCTCCATCGCCCGCAGGTTCATCAAAAGCGCATCGCTGCTGTGGCTGTCGTCTGTCACCGCCGTCCCTCCTGGCTTCGCCCGCATGTCGCTGCCTTTCTTCTGCGTTTCCGCCGGCTTCGGCAAGGGCGGCCGCGGCGCGAGTGCGTTGAGGGATAGCTTCTTCAACGACGGACTCCGCTGCTGCCCCGATGGGGGTGCAGTGGCGACGGTGTTGTGCCGGCTCGCACGAACACCACCACCGCCGCCGCTGTTGCCGCTGCTGCCCGCTCCCTTCTCCAGGGCACTCGCCGGCAACGCGGGCAGTGAGGTGTGGGACGGGCGTTGCTTACCGCCGCGCATCCCCATGAGCGACAGCGGCGTGCCGCGTGCACGCGTGGGCTTCCAGTCGCGGGACGCCGTAGAAGGCGGCCCACCACCACCACCACCACCTTCTAAGCTGGGCAGATCTTTCCGCTGCCGCTGTGCTTTTATGTTGAGTGCATCGACATCGACATCGTGCACGCCGCTGTGCTGCTCATTGAGGAAGGAACTCGTCAGGGTGTTCAGCGAGGGCAGTTGGGGTGACTTGCCATCGCCTGCCCCACCGCGACCGCTGCTGCCCGTCCTGTTTGGCGGCTCTGCCGAGGAGGAGGGCTGCACCCGGGAGCCGTTTTGCGTCGCTTCAAACAACGCTTCTCGAAGCTCCTCGACCTCGCGCTGCTGTTGCTGCGCCTTGGCCCGCCAGTACGTCTCCTGCTTCCGGTGCGTCTCCAGCGCTCGCCGCAGCGTCTCCGTCTGCGCGACTTGCTCGTGCAGCTGAGCCTCGTAGTTCAGCTCGCGGCTCTTCATCGCACGGAGCAGCTCCTCGCTCAGCTGCACGCCCTCCTCGAGCTCGGCGACGTGCGACGGGTCGGGTGCGCTGCGCAGCGCCGCCTGCATCACACGGAGTTGATCGCGCATCTCACGAATCACCCGCGCTGTCGGGGCCTCGCTCAGCTTCGCATGATTCACGACGCTCTTGGCGAGGGTGGCGTAGCGAAGCGTCGACTCCGTTTCCCCTGCGTTTGCCGCACACGGCGACACGTTCGCGCACATGACGGTGAAGCTGTTCCCGCCTAAGTTGTCCGACAGTACGTAGGTCAGCAGACTCTCCCGATAGGGGATGACTACCCCTTTCTTCGCTTTACCGCCGCCGCCTGCTGCTCCTCCTCTTCCCGCACCGTGGTTGTTGCCTTGTGCTATCGCGCGATTCGCAATCAGCCCCTCCAAGACACGGCGCAGCGTCGACAGGGAGGCGTTAATGCTATTCGCTTCTGCCAAGTGCTTCTCGGTCGTCTTTGCCTGCGTGTGGCGCTCGCTACCGGCGAGGTCAACCAGATTAATCTTGCTGACCGTCTCCAGGGCCACCTCTCGACCGCGCACCCGTCCACCGGTGCTTTCGCGCCGCGTCATCTGCAGCTGGAAGATGGCGTGCGATCGACTGGACTTGGCGTTCATCGCGGTGCTGCCCTGCGTGCGCAACGTGTTGCCCTGCTGCAAAAACACTTCGCACTCGTCCCAGGTGCGCACCGGCACACTCGACAGGCCGTCCACGTAGATGCCCTTCGATGGGTGATGACGCACCTTCAGCGTGCGGTACTCGTCGCTGTCGACGTCCTTTTTGTCGAAGCGGCTCTTGTAGTGGAGGATGGCGTTCTTGGGACGTTGCTTCAGCAGGTCTCGCACCTGCTCCTTGTAGATCTCCATGTAGGAGAGCTGCAACGTGACCAGCGCCGGACCAGCGCCGCTGCCGGCATCCGCCGCGTTGCGTGACGCGACCGCCGCGAAGAGGCGCTGGCACAGACGCGGAATCAAACCGGGATGGCGCGTGGTGCCCATCATGGTGTACGTCTTGCCGCTGCCCGTCTGCCCGTAGGCAAACATGCAGGTGTTGTACCCCTGCAGGGCCGCATCGACGAGTGGGAGGGCCAACTGCTCGTAGAGGGCCACCTGCTCCGCCTCTGCCTGCTCTTCCTGCGCAGGCGTGTGCGACGACGTCAGGGCTGCGCCACCGTCGTCGTTGTCCATAATCACATAGGGGGCCGCTTCTCCTCTTTCCCCGCCCCCTTTCATCCTTCGTCCGGTTAGACTCGCCTCCGTCAGCTGAGCATCAAGCTCCACGTCTGGCGCGAAGCTGCTGTACACGTAGTCGTACGTGAAGGCGTTCCGCACCGGGGCCAGCGCACGTCCGCTGTCACTCAGCAGACGCTGCGCATCCAACAGCACGACCGTCCTGCCGTCACTCTCTACCTCCACCACGGGGAGGGGTACCTCATGGACGTCGAAGGAGGCCCGGTTCGCGCCGACACCATCGTCGTCGTCACCGTCGTTCGGGCGCCGCGTCCACGACTTGTCAAAGACGGTCTGGGTGGCGTTGAGGGACTTGTAATCGGGCCCAAAAGGCTGTCGAAGTGCCAATCGCGCTCGACGTGCCTCTTCGGTGTCCTCTGGTGTCTGCCCTGCCCGCCGCTCCTGTCGCCACTGTCTCACTTCGCGCTCGGTGAAGGGACGAATACGCGCCGCGACGAGGATGCGGAAGTCAGCGGTGCTGCTGCCGGTGCCGGCTGTGGGGGCGGTATCGTCAGCAAATCCGCCCCCGCCATCGTCGAACGAGGAGGGAGAGGGGTGGCGCTTCACTTCGCCATGTTGCTTCGATTGCTGCGGGCCCGTGCGGTGAGAAACACTTACTTTGCTGCCATTAATAAGTGGGAGGGACATCTTGCTGGAATTTTATGTATGTGTGTGTGTGTGTGCGTATGTCTGCAAGCACTTCCGAGGTTTAACGGGGGGGGGGGGGTTAACTTGCAAAGAAAGAAAACAGCAATTTAGACGCTTGTTAAGTTCTTAAATACATAAAGGTTGGCGTGTATGTGTACGTGTGTGTGGTCTTCAGGCGACAGAACAACAAAAAGAACACGATCGGATTCGCCTTGCCTCCCCACAACACACGAAGGACCAAAAATAAGTAAACAAATAATAGCACTACTAAAGAATATCGTTTCCCAGAAGAAAGATGAAGCGTCAAGGGCCGCCAAGAGCCGGCCGACACTCAAGAACTGTTGGCGTGTTCTTCTGTGCTTCTTCAAACAACAACAACAACAACATATTATTATTTTGACGGTTAAGTTCCAGATGGGTAACAAAACGACAGAAAGAGCGCAGGAGGGAAAGGAGAAAGAGAAGAAGAAGGAAAAAAAAGAATCCGAGAAGAGGAAAGTGTACTGATCGAGCTGCTTGAGATCCAACGAGATGCGGAATACACATTCCTTTTTTTCGGTTGTTGTAGTGACATAGTGGAGCCTTCAATGCTGTCAAGAGGGCAGCCCACCAACCCACATATACACGCACACACACACACACACAAACAATGGCCGAGGAACCTCTCTTCACTCTCGTCTTCCTTTTCACACTGAAGTACTCTTCATGTAGCCCAGCGTCGCTTTCACCGATAGAAGAAGGAGAAGAAGGATCAGGCTTCTTCATCAACATCTGTTTGTTGTACATGTCGTCTTTTTTTGGTTGCATCAATCTAACACAGCCACAAACACTCACAGCACGTGGAAAGAGCGCCATTGATAGGGCGTACTATACATAATTGGAGAAAAGGAAAAAGACAGCTTATAGCCCACATAACGGCAAGACAAGCAGCTTAGCGTGTAATACGAGGAGGAGGAGAACGAGAAACACAACAACGGCAAACGACAACAGACGACGGCTCGTCAGAATTTCCCGCACGGCGATACAACTTTTGGCGCGCATGCGTGCAAGTGCGAGCGCAAAAATATACAGTTGTGTTGCTTGAGAAGAGCAGACGATCACTTCCTCTTCGTGGGCGTATCTACATGGTAGCAGGCTCCGCCGGTGCTGCCGCCAATGGCGCGGTCACTGCAGCCTGCTGCTGCTCCTGCTGCTGGTGCTGCTGCCGGCGCTGCTGGAGCAGACTTCGAGCGCCACCCACCACCGGCTTCGATGATGCTGCCATTGATAAACGCTGCTGCTGCTGGTGGTGCTGCCGCTTCTCACTCGCGTACTTCACGGCAGCAGTGCGCTGCGACTGCATGCGGCGGACGTGCTGCCGCACAACAGAGGCCTGCCCCTCCGCAATTTGAACCTTGCGCTCCCAGTTCTTCACTGCCTTCTCCAGTTCCACCTCCTCAGCCTTTTGGGCCATGTACTCCTCAATTTTTGGGGCTCTGATGGCCTCCTGCTGCGCCTTTAGAGCATCGTGTTTGGATTCGGCCAGCACCGCCTCCGCCGTTGCCGTGGTGTACTCCTTGTCGCAGCGGGACAGGTACTCGGTGCGGCTCTTCGACTCGCGCTTCAGCCGCGTCTGCTCGCTCGCCAACTCGTTCAGTTGACCCATCAAGTGATTTAACTGCTGCACGGTGCGGGTGGAGGTGCCTTTCAACTCTGCCAACTCGTTGTTCTTCGCGGCCATGCGCTCGGTGAACTGCTTGTGCTCGATGCGGAGCTGCTCGAGATCCACGGCTTGAAAGGCCTCCCCGGCGATACGGCGCTGCCGCACGAGCTGCTGCGCACGGGCGATATCCTGTTCCACCGCCTGGCACTGAACCTCCAGTTTATCCAAGTAGTTCACCTGAGTAGTGTGGCGACGTTCTAAGTAGCGCAGCAGCTCCTCGGCGGTCGTGGCGGGGATCGCCGCCGCCGACCCGGCAAGCTCGTCTCCTGCTTGAAGCGGGTTGCGACGAAGCGCGGTGGCGGCCCCGGCATTGGTGTCGCCCTCGTCGCCGACGACTTCGCGGTGGAACTGCAGCATCTCCAGCTTTAGCTCCTGCTGACGGCGGATGGCCTCTTCGACGGTGGCGACTAAGATCTCCTGCACGCCGTCCGCCTCCTTCGTGATACGCTCTTCCTGACTGCGCAGCCGCGCCGTTTCCTGCCGCAGTAACGCGGCTTTGTCGTCGACGCGCACGAAGACGTCCAGCGCGCCGAGGGAGCGGCGGCGGTAGTTGCGGCCGCGACGGGTGCCGGTCGCGCCACCGCGGTGGGTCGTGATGGTTAACCCACCGCCGGTGCTGCTGCTGTCATCGTTGCGGTCGTGATGGTTTGCTGCGCCGGTGCTGCCGCTGTCGGGACTCATGATCGTCACCGACACCGGGGCCGCGACGTCGTTCTGCGAGCTGCCGGCGATGTCCGTTACTGGCTGCTGCCGCTGCTGCTCCGTCCCAACACCACCAGCACCGTGCGGTCCGCCGCTGCTTCCCTCACCGACCGGCCGGCGCTCCTGCAGCGTCTGCACGTGGGCGGCGAGCACCTCCGTTTCCTCCCGCAGCGCCGCCACCTCCGTCGCCAGCTCCGTCACGGCGTCGTTCATCTCGGCCGGCTCCAAATCGGCCACGTCTTGCGCGAAGACCTCCACGGCGGGGTAGGTGCGCGTGTAGAAGGCGACGAGGAGGGCGTTGAAGTCGTCGCCGGCGGACATGGTGCCGGCGGTGCTGTCGGCTGGCAGTGGGGAGCTGGCGCTGTCGCTGAAGCGCTGCACGCGCTTTGACGGGCTCGCCGTGTTCTCCAGCGAGCTCATTGTGAGTGGGAGAGGGTGAACAGTTAGGAAAAGGCGGCTTTCCTGCTTCTCTTGCTATGTTCTCTTGTGCCGTTCCACGTTGCTGTGTGTGTCAGGCAGTGGAGGGGGGGGGGGGGGGGAGGAAAAGAGCAGAATAATAAGTACGCTCACAGTGAGCTTCTCTTTCTTTCATTGTATATTTGAAAGTTCATTTCGCGTGAGCCCTCACACACACACACACACACACAAACAACGATGCTATTTTCTGGGGTGACGCAGGGGTATTATGTTTCTCCGTCTTGTAACCCCTCGTCTTCCTTTTCAGTCTTGCCCACGCATTCCGAGTTGTAACGCATGCCGCAAGCCTTTGAGGTCCTGCTTTCAGCGACGACCTTTTGTCTTCCCCTACAACCCTTTGCTTTGAAGCGTCTACGAAAGAGTTGGTGTGATCAGCACATTGACCATTGGAATAGTAATAGTAGTAAAACAACGGAGGCACAGGAAAAAAGAAACGGAAAAGAGAGCGGCATCCACAGAGAGAGAGAGAGAGAGAGGGAAAAACAGCAGCTAGGCGTTGAAGGCGTCGCTGCTCTTATCTGGTGCCACCGCCGCGGTGGTGGTAGTGGCAACAGATGCCGTGGTCGCCGACCCCTCGTCTCCCTCCGCTGCCGCTCCGGTGCCCGTACGCGACGGCGTTGCGGTCGCATCCGCTTCCGCCACGGCTGCTGCCGCCGCACGCGCCTCCAGAACCCGAATAGGCTCCAAAAACGGGTGTTGTATCGCCTGCGCGCAGCTCATGCGCTGGCGTGGGTCGTACTGCAGCAGTTTCTCAATGAAGTCGCAAAAGGTCTCATAGGCGGCCGCGTCGTGTCCCCGCTGACCGGCGCGGCAGCCGCGTGGACCGCCGGTGTGCACGCCAAGTACTTTCTCGAGCGGAGTGCCCGGGCCTGCCGCGCGCACCGCGTTCGCCGTGGCGGACTCCGTGTCCTCCACCTGCGGCGCGCGGAGGAAGAAGGGCGAGCCAGGCGCGTGCCCTGGCGCGTCGGTAAACGGCGTTAGAATCGGCGAAGGCGAGGTCGTAAAAGCGAGTAAAGGGGAGGCCGCGCGCTGCTGCTGTTGCTTCTGCTGCTCCGGTTGTAGGGAGAGTGCTTGGGCGGTACCAGCAGCCGAGGAACTCCCGCCCAGAGCCGGCGGCGACGAAGTACCTTCCCCACCTCCTCCCCCGCCGCCGCCGCCGTTGTTGTTGTTGTCGACGATCGGGCATGTGTGGTAGAGCCGCGTGCGCTTTGGACTCGCCGCAATCATGTAATCCGGCAGCGCTCCCAGCACCATCGTGAAGTACGCGACCATGTCTGTTTCGTTGTTGCCCTGAAAGAGCGGGCAGCCGGTGTGCATCTCCGTTAAGAAGCACCCCAGCGACCACCGATCGATGGCAGTCGTGTAGCCCAGCTCGAGTATCACCTCCGGACTGCGGTAGTAACGAGACTGGATGTACTTCGGCATGACGACCTCAACATCCGCGTTCGCGCCGGCGGCGGTGATGGTGGCCGCGGGAAAAAAAATATCCGTGGCGTTCGCGGTGGTGCTGGTGGGTGCAGTAGTACCAGTGGCAGCCACAGCTGTGGTTTGCTGCTGAAGTGGAGGACCAGTCGCCGTCTCTCCTGTAGCTGTCTCCCCGCCACCCCCCGCGGAGGCCTTGGCGACCGACGACGTTGCCGCTGCTCGCGGGGACGAGGCGGCACTACTGCTGCTCACTACGGCAGCCGCTGTCGTTGTCGTTGTGGTCCCTGTTCCACCGCCGCTGCGTCGCTCGCCCACGCAGTCCCACGGCGGCCCGGCCGAAGCGCTCGGCGATGAGGCCGGGAGCGGCACCTGCGCCGGCGGCAGTCGCCAAGTCGTCTGCTGCTGATAGCACGCCGAGCCGAAGTCAATTACCCGCACCCCGCTCCGGCTCGGATCACGCAGCAGCACGTTCTCCGGCTTTAAGTCGCAGTGGATGATCGGGGGCTGGTGCTGCTCCAGCACGAGCAGCACCTTCACCATCTGGTACGCGAACTTTCGGGTCAGGTCGAGGCTGACGCCGTTGTGCTTGGTGAGGGTGATCAGCTTGTACAGGCTAAAGCTCAGCGGCTCAAAGACGAGCACCATGTGCCCTTTCCAGAGAAATACCTTCCGCAGCTGCACGACAAGGTTCTGCAGCGACACGTCGTTGTTCAGGTGGGCGACCACCTGTGCCTCGAACCAGCCTTGGCTCTCGAAGTAGGGACCGCTGCGGATGATCTTCACTGCCACCGGCTCGTTGTACTTGCGGTCAATACAGTGCAGCACCTTGCCGAAGCTGCCTTGACCGATCAACTCCTTGAACACGTAGCGGTCCGCGATCACTTCCCCTTCGCACGGCACGTAGTGGCCCGAGGCGTCTTCGTACTTGCGGGTGACGTACTTCGCAGGGGCAGCCAGCAGCTTCTGCCGCTCTTGGTAGAAGATTTCGTTGATCGTTTGGTAGACGGACATGATGTTCTGCGACAGCGCCACGGTCGGCCGCTCCTCGCCGCGGAGGCGGGTGTACCGCGTAACGCCACCGCCACCAGCAGCTGCACCGCTGTTCGCGTTGGTGGTTGTAGACGACGTCGAGACGCCGGACCGACTGACCCCCGCAGAGCTCATCTGCGGTTGTTGTTGCTGCTGCTGCTGCTGTTGGGCTGACAGTGACAGCGGAGGAGGTGAGATGGTCACCCCAGCAGAGCGATCCCCCCGCAACTCCCCGCCGGCCAGACCAGAGGAAGAGGACGACGAGTGCTGCGCAAAAGGCGGCTCGACGCCACTGATGCGGCTCGTCGTCGCACCGCCGCCACTCGCCGCTGCAGCTGCTGCTGCGGCGCTGCCTCGTCGTGCGGAGGAGCCGCTGAGGGCGTATGGAAGAGGTGCCACCGCCGCAGTCGCTGCGGTGTTGCTGACGCTGAAGTTCACGCCGGCGGCCACCGCTGCGGCCGTCATCGCGCTGCTATTGTGCGTTGCGTGCGGGGGCGAGAGAGAGGAGAGGTCGAACGCGCCGTGCATCGTCTCTGCTTCCACATGGGTCCCACTGCTGCTGTCAACGGGCGGCATAGGTGGCAGATCCTGCCCGGATGAAGACGACGGAATGCGGGAATGCATACCCCTGTCGGTGTTGCCGAGGCTTCCGCCGCCACCACCGTTACCACCGCGACGCCGTCCGTGCTGCGATCGTGGAGACAAGTGTTGCTGCGGTTGCTGTTGCTGCTGGCGAGGGCTTTGAAAGAGATCGCCGTATCCGCTATAGCCGCCGCCACCATTGCGTCGCCTTTGATGGTCGGGGTGATATCCCCCTCCCCCGCCACCGCTATTACCGCTACTAACACCACCACCACCACGCCAGTGAGAATACCCGCTGACCGCCTGCCCTTCACCTCCGCTCGCACCACCGCCAGGGCCCACCGGCACATTCACCATGTAGATCGGCGTCGTATCACTCATGGGCTTATTATGGTTGTTGTTGGGATTGATGTTGAGGGGGTAGTTAGGTGATGACGGACCGTGTGCGTACGTCCGCTGTTGCTGCTGCTGCTGCTGGTGTGGCGGCGACGGCTGCGGTTGCGTTTGTTGTCTGGGCGGCCGATAGAAACCACCGGCGTGTGTCTGCGTGTACGGCGCTGCGTTACCCATCGACCGATATCCACCGGAGCTGCCCACTGCCATCGTATGGGCTGTCATGGACGCCGCTGTGGCATCTGCGTACTTCGGTGTGCCACCGGCAAACACCGGAGGTGAGGAGGAAGAAGACACAAGTATCGTCGACTCAGCAGCAGGAGCGACGGTGAAAGCGGCCGCGGTTCCTGTGTGAGGACTGGCGGTGCTTTGGGGGGCCGGTGGCAGACCACCGGTTGACCGGAGAGGCGGCGGGGAAGGCGCGGTGGTGGGTGGTGGCTGCTGTGCCTGCTGCGGCAGCCGACCAGCGGCATTCGCGCCACTGCCACCTGCGGAGGTCGCCGTGTTGGACCACCAGTGCGAATTGAAGCGGTTCGAATTCATGAACAACGTACTCTTACTCGTTGTTGGTGGTTTCTCTGCTTTCGTCTCCGTTGATCGGCGATGAAATCAATAAAGGAAAGCAAGCAAGCAAAACAAAAGTACCATACATAGACGAAAGAAACTCTAACATAAAAGGTTCTGCCTCGCCCACTCGCACACACACACACACACACAGTCATGAAAGAAAAAGTCCGAGAAGGAGGAGGACTATGCGAAGCAGAAAACACGACAGCAACAACAACAAATCAAATGCTATGAAGCGGTCATACAAGCAAAGATGAGTATGCGTTGTGCTTGTGTCTGTGTGTGTGTGTGGGGCGGGTGGATTTATGGATGTATGAATGTGTCTTAATTCCTCTATTGCAATGCTGTACGAAGAAAAGAAAAGAAAAGCGATGGCGGCTTTTGAAAAGATAATAATACTAATAGTAACAATAAAACACACACAAGGCACACAGGGGAAGATAGAATAAAAATGCCAAAAGAAGAATCTCTCTTTCTCTCTCTCTCTCCCAAAGTAGAATAATACACTTTTCTATCTTCTATTGTCTTTCTCTTATCCTTTTTTGTTTGCTGATTCGACTCATGTGAATATGAAAACAACAACAATAGTAATAAAATCAGTAATTAGTAATGCTGCTCTCACTTCTCCAGATGATGCTGCAGCCAACAGAAAGCACGGCGAGAAACAAAGGCTGTAGGGAGATGTATTTACATGTACCTATATGTATATGTTGTTTTCGCTCTCGTCGTCGTGGAGTCCTGGGAGCAGTAACACGACAAGGAAGGAGAAGCAAACACACAAACACACAGGCGACTGGCAACGCTTCCACAGGTAAAGACTGTCGCGTCACGAAGTGTACTTTCGGTGTGAGTGACGCAACAACAACACAAGAACAACAACAAATGCGCACGCGCGTGGGAACACGCACACGCACACACGAGTAAACGCCTTGTACGCCTCGTCGCGTCGTTTTTTTTTTGTTTCCCCTTCCCCTTTGCGCAGGCGTGAATGCTGCTCTGTTTGGCTTTAAACCCCCCCGTGAGAGGAGCAGCGCGATCGTCGCACAGTCTTCAGCGACGCGGCGCTCAACGTGCAGAGGCAGTCGGAAGGAAAAGATAAATAAAAAGAATCCAAAAAGAGCCAGAGTAAAGGCGTGTCACTCTACTGAAAAGAGAGGGGGAGCATACACAAACACAGTCGCGCGCGCGAGAGAGGGAGCGAGAGGAACAGCAGGTGCTTACAGATATATATGTCTATATCTATTAATGAGAACAGGGAAGCGATCGACCTCGCCGTTATCGTATGCTTTGACCGATGGGGGCACGTGAAGAGCTGATCAAAGAGCATACGCGTTTGCACCGCGTTTGTTCACGAAAAAAAAGAACGTTGATGAAGATGAGAAGAGGGATTGAAGGAGATGTATGAATATAAAAGAATATACGCAGCCACAAGACGCGCCTTTACGTATTGGGCCCGAGAGCGAGAGATTGAACAGGAGGAGGACGCTCGATTCAGCCAGCCGATGCACCGGCGTAGCTCTTGCTGCTCCGTTACATATATATTGTTTACGATTGAAGATTTAATTCTTTGAAGATGTCGTTCTCTATTCATTTGGGGGTTTGAAGACAAAAGAAAAGCGGGACAGCTGGATGTGTAGTGAGGTGCGAAAAGCCAAGTAAAAAAGAATACGTGAACATGACAAATGCGGAAGTAAAGCCGGCCCACGCGGACCCGGACGTCCAAAGTACGGTTATGACCACTTCCGGAAAGACCAGACCAGTGCATAACGAACAACAGCAGCAACAGGAAAAGAAAGTGGGTGGGGGGGGGGGGCACTGCAAAGCAAAGTCGAAAAGAAAAAAAAAGAACATGGAGAAAAGCCATAATAGTAATAATGAGAAGGCGCCACACCACAGCAGCAGAACTGAAAAAATAATAGCAATAATAAGAATGATATATATTCACAAGTACTAGTAATAATAGTAGCACAAGAGAAGAGCAGTGTGGTGCGGGTTATTCACGACGGCGCTTCGCTGCCGCAGCAGCCACCTCCTCTCGATAGGCCTGCCGCTTCTCATCTCGTTCCACCGCCTCCTTCGCCTTCTTCTCCTCCAGCGCGTTCAGCAGACTGAACTTCTTTTGCTGCTCCTTCATGGTCACCATCACCGACACCCGCGACGACACGCGCTGCATCATGGACTCCGCCTTTCTCCGCGCCAGCCGCTGCACCACCCGATCCTTGCCCGCGACGATGACGTCTTGCTGGTCCACCAAGTCCTGCAGCAGCTGTGTCTCTCTCCACTCCTTGCCTTTCGCCCTCGTCGACGCGGCACCGCTGCGAGGATCGGCTGCGGGGCCGCCACGTGCGCCGTGGTGGCCGTCGTCGTCGCCTTCATCTTTGACAGGAACTAACATACCGAAGTCGCGCTCATGGCGTGCTTTCTTGTGCCTCCGTCCGCGTCGCGGCGCACTCGCACCGCCATCGCCATCACTACTGTCCTCCACCACTTCGTCCTCGGTGCAACTCACGGAAGAACGACTGCTGCTGCTGCTGCTGTCTTCACCCTCTCCATCAGACACGACGGCACCGTAGTCGCCAAGCGTCTCATCCACCACGGGTGGCTGACGTGACGCGGCGCTCGGTACCGCCGCGGTGGAGTTGTGCAGGTGGTGCGCTGTGAGCAGGTACTTCTTGTCCATCGGCACCCGCGGCTCGTACTCGGAGCCCAGCAAGAAGTTCTCCATGAAGCTGTCTTGCACGTGGAAGAAGCGCTGCAGCTCGGGGTCGTTCAGCACTTTGTCCGTCACGTACATCTTCGCCAGCTGCCGACGCAGGATCGCCTCCTCCACACTGCCGCTTGTGATGAGGCGGTAGACACAGACCTCGCGCCGTTGCCCGATGCGCCACGCCCGTTCCCGGGCCTGCACATCCGTGATCGGGTTCCAGTCCGGGTCAAAGATGACCACACGATCAGCACCGATTAAGTTAACACCGATGCCGCCGACGCGCGTCGTGAGGAGGGCGACGAAGATGGAGTCGTCCTCGTTAAAGCGGTCCATCAGCTCCTGCCGGTGGTGCCCGTTCGTAGCGCCGTCCATGCGGATGTAGGTGTAGCTCTGCTGCTCACACATGTTCTCGATGATGTCCAGCATCATGCGAGTTTGCGAGAAGACCAGCACGCGATGCCCAAACGCCTTCCACTCCTTCAGCATCATCAGCAGCGCGTTTAGCTTGCCGCTGCCGAGCAGGTTCACAGGGTTGTTGCTGCGGAAGGAGCGGTGCTGACCGGGACGCAGCGGGCCGCGGCTGCGATGGAGCAACATGCGGTCCTCTGCATCCGCACCCCTCTGCACGGCGTAGATGTCCGCGTGATTGCAGATCTGGCGAAGCTGATTCATGAGCCGAAAGGACTCTAGTCGCACCCCGCTATTGTTGCGCCGGTTGGCCGTCATGTTCAGTCGGGCCCCCGCCACGTGCAGCGACCCCGTGCTGTCGCGCCCGTCGCGATCCAGCCCACCGGTGCGGGAGCCGTACATGACGGTCTGCGCGAAGAGTCGCTGCACGACCGGCGAGGAGAGCACCTGCAGGTACTGCTCGAGCTGCTGGTCCGTCAGCGGCACTCGCAACACCCGCTCGTACTTGGGCGGCAGCTGCGTGTTCACCTGCCGCTTTAGCCGCCGGAGGAGGTAGGGGGCGATGTGGTCCTGCAACGTCTTGGCGCACTCCACCGCCGTGGCGAGGGCCAGCGGGCTCGCCCGCACGTTGCGGCTCTGCGAGATGGGCGTCTCGAACTCGTCGATGAAGCGGTTCATCGTGCCGAGCAGCCCCGGCTGCACGAAGTCAAACAAGCACCACAGCTCTTTCAATGAGTTTTGAATGGGGCTGCCGCTGAGAATGAGCCGATGCGGTGTCGTGAAGGACTTCGCCGCCAGCGTGACACCGGCGTCGGGGTTGCTGATCTTGTGTCCCTCGTCGAGGATGATGTACTGAAAGCCAGTGCGCTGCAACAGCGCGCAATGCTCACGCATCGCCGCAAAGGTGGTCACCACCACCGCCGGCGTCCCCTGCACAGAGCGCAGCAGCGCCGTCCGCGTCGACTCCCCGCCGCTGCTCTCGTGCATCACGCAGGACCGCATGTACGGGGCCCAGCGGTGCAGCTCCGCCAGCCACTGCCGCAGCACCGTCATGGGCGACACGACCAGCACCGGGCCGCGCAGCATGCGGGAGTGGTGCAGCGCGTTCAGCAGGGCGGCAACTTGAATTGTTTTGCCCAGCCCCATCTCGTCCCCGAGGATGCCGCCGGCGCGACGGGCGTGCAGGGAGAGCAGCCACAGCAGGCCCTCCTGTTGGTAGTCCAGTAGACGGTTGTAGATGTTTGCGTCCATGTTCACGCCCGGCAGGAGCGTGACTTCCTCCATCTCTACTACTAAATCGTCATCGCCGTCGGCGTGGGTGGAGGGCGAGGGGAGGTTCGGCTGGGCGGGGGCCTGCGACAGCGACCGCGACCGCGGTGTGACGGTCCCGCTGCGCTCCTGGTGAAGCTGGGCGGCGGCGCGGTGCACGGCGGCCTCCACTGCCGCATCATCCTCGTCTTCCATCAGCGCGTCCACGTCGATGATGGCGTTCTCATCTGCCTCGTCTGCAGTGCCACCCGCCTTCTCCTCTTCCACTTTGATTTGATGTTGCTGGATTGAATTGCCGTTTTCTTCCGCGGCGTCCTCGTCTTCCTTTGTCAATGATTTGGTTGCCTCCGCTCTTTTAACACCCCTGCTGATGATGCTGTCGTTATTTGCAGCGGACTCGGTCCCTGGTTCCTGCTTCACGCGTGCCTGCTCGTGCATCGTGGACCCGCGATCCCCATCAGCACCGGCGACGTTCTCGGACTTCCCTTTTGTGCTCCCCACCGCTGCCAGGGCGGATGCGCTGGGCTGCACGCTCGCCACCGCGGACAAGGAGGCAGCTGAGGCTGTCCTCGCCGTCGCCGTCGTCGCTGCGATGCGACGCTGCTGGTTCGCCACGGCCTCCAAGCGCTGACGCTTGATGATGCGCTCGAGGTAGTGCGTCATGTCGGAGTCGTCCTGGTAGCGTCGCTGCTTGGAGCGGATATCCGCTCGCGTCACCGCCACTCGACTGAGCGACGGCAGCACCTCGCCGCCGCTGTAGTCGCTTTGGGTGATGCCGCGCAGGTGCGTAGGGACTCGGTAGAGCACGCGTTTCGTCGTCGTGGGCGAAGCGGGAGATGCAGAACCGTTAATGCCACGATGACTGCTGCTGCTGCTACTGCGGCCTCCGTTATTTTTGTTGTCTCCAGCGTGCGAGGCTGAGGGTGCTTGACTGGGCCCTTTGGCAGATCCGTTGGCCGCCTGTCTCGCGCTGTTGCTGCCGTTGTCGACCGAATGGGCTGCCGCTGCAGAAGAGACGGCGACGGCAGCAGGAGCGGCCGACCGTGGTGTCGCTGCGAGGAGTTGATCCGCTGCCGTCTGCTCCTTCTCTTTTCGCTTCGCCTCCGCCAGGCGTGCGGCCTGTCGGCGGTCCACCTCTTCTTGCGTCCGACGCACCACCGCGTCGCACCGCTTCAGTTCTGCTTGGGCGGCGTGGAGCTGATACTTCACATCCGATACACGTCGCACCGCCGCATCGGACGACGAAGGGCCCTCCGCGCGCGGCGCCGCCGACGACGACGATGACGGCAGCACCGTCGACTCCTGTGCCGCCGCGTACTGTGCGTCCTCCAGTTCCATCTCCAGCTCACGCGCGCGGTGCTCCGCCTTTTCGAGATCGCGGTAGGCCTGTGCCAACTTCGCCTCATCTTCGATCGCAGCCCGCGAGGAGCTGGCGACGACGCGAGCGGCCACCTCCCATCGCATTTCTTCCTCATCCTGGAAGGTGCCGTACTGCCGCAGGGCTGCGAGATCGTCTGCCATGGTGGGCAGCTGTGAAGGGCGGGGGTATGATAACGAGAAGAAAGAGGAGGGGGGGGGAGGAGAGGGGGAGGAAACCAAGGCTAAATGTATAAAGACAGATTTGTGTATGCTTTGCTCATCTGTATGTGTGTGTAGGCGTATCGAACTGGTGCTCGACTTCCACAAGGCCCGATTGAGTGTGAAGGCACAAAACAACACCAACAAAAAAAACGGCGAAAGGGTATGATAGTGGCGAGTAATAATAATAATAAAAAGTAAGTATAGTTGATCAGAGGCAGATTTAGCTGAAGTCGTAGTAGTAATAATAATACCTTCCGTTCAGATGTATGTGTATACGATTATTATCATTTTCATTAAGTATATCTAGCCGGGAAGCAACGATCACAGAATGACAAACGTAGTTAATAACTGTGAGTGTCGAGCGCGTTTGAAGAGTCTCCTGAAAACAACACGGAGAAGGTGCTATGAGCAGTACAGGGGAAATTGTATTATCTAAGTCCACGTCTCGTAGATGAACGTTGACGAGCCAGACGTAGACATTCTTTATTATTATTATTGGGAATCAACGTGAAAAAAAAAGTAACAAGAAGCGGTGGAGGCAGAGGGCAACCGTGAGTCGTAAAGCAGAAGAAGCAAAATAACATGTAGCATGGCCATTCGGGATTGCTGCTTCTCTGGGGGTCGACGAGCGCACGTGTGAACGTGGTGATCGTCAGCTCCGTGTTACTCGGTGCACGGACGGGGAAAAAAGGGGGAAGTCTGCAAGGGGGATATGGAAACAACACCTGTAGGCTTCTTACATACTAAATAAATATAGATATATATATATCTTTTTTTTTTTCAGAGAGGGTGACGGTAAACCTCAACCACCTCCACAGAACAGGTAAACGAGAAAAAAACATGGAAAGCTAAAAAAAAAACAGAATCAATGAAAAGCACATATAACCGATACTTTTGTTTGATATTGGTTTTTCCCTTTATGTCTATGCCAGATGGCAGAACAGCATTGTCTCTTTGCAATTATTTTTCTTTTCTTTGGTTGGTTTTTGAGTTTGTGGTATTTGTCTCTACAGGGAGGTGGACGTACGTCTGCTAGTCACGTAACATCTCGGAACGGAAGAGGAATAATAATAGTAATATAACGGTGTGCTCCTGTGTGTGTGTGTGTGTGTGTGTGTGCGTGGTTCGATATGGCGGATTGAACATGGAGAAGGAACACATCAAGTGTTATTGGCCGCGTTCGAGTTCGTGTACCTACCTACCACTCATTCCGAACTACCATGTGCCTCTCGGCGACATCAAGAACAGTGATAAAACAATAGCCATCAAAAAATAATAACAATGAAAAAGCAAATGTCCCCCTCCCCATTCACGTCCACACACACACACACACACAGCCTTTTCCCTTTATCCCTTTCTTCTTTGAAGCAGGACGTCGCAAAGCAGACGGATTCTTTTCCCTCCATAGCCGCCTTTGAATTAAAAACAAAAGATATATATATATATATGTTGATGTATAACGGATGAAAGAGGAAAACAAAACAAAAGCACGCATTCGGTGGGGGGGGGGGGGTAGTGTATTGGTGAAGCGAAGCACGTAAGATATATATATATATAATACTAACCGCGAAGGCGTAAAGAGGGTGTACGAGAAGCCGACAGCCACGCGCAGCTTTGCCCCGTCCCAGCAAATCTCGAAAGGGGAGAAGAGAAGAGAACGCTTCAGCGTAAAAAGGAAAACCAAACGAACAAACCAGCCTCCCTTCGTTTCTCTTCCAGGTGGTTGTTTCTCCTCTCACGGCTGATCTCCTTGTTTCTTATCTCTTTTCTTCCCCCCTTTTTTGCAGCTTACAACTTACGGTGCTGTGTGTCCGGACAAGTGCGCGACTTAACTCTTTTCGTGGTTTCGTAGGAGTGCTTTCCTTTTACGCCTTCGGGATCGGGTTGGCCTCGAAGCTGATCTTGAAGCCGTTCGGTTCGCCCTCGATAAACATCTCCGTCTTCGTCGGCGCGATCTGCAACACGCACTTGAACTCGCCGCTCTCCTCGTCCTTCTCCATCTTCGTGTTGCCGAGCGCCTCGATCTTGCTGTCCTTGCCGAAGGAGACCTTCACCACCATGTTGTAGTTCGTCGTGTCGTTGTAGAACGCCCACTTGTGCTCGTCGTTGTTGACGATGCGGAAGAGCAGGCCGTTTCCGTTGTCCTTGAAGCACTTCACGACGGTGTCACCCGTGTAGGTCGGCTGGCCGTTCTCGTAGTTGATCTCAGACATGGTGGAGAGGGGAGATTCGAAAAAAAGCGGAGGGAAGAGTTGCAATAACGTAAGGAGGATTGGTGTGATCTGAAGCGTGTGTTGGTGTGTGTTTGGGATATACACGACGAGGCAAAAAGTGGGAAATGAAAAGCCCCCCAAAAGAAAGGTAAAATTCGAGTAATAGAAGGAGAGAAAGGGAAAGACGACGTTGGGCACGCAACGGCGGCGCCGGCTTTCAATGCGCCACAGAAACACGAAACCCAAACCCTTGAAAGAAGGCAGTAGAGTTTTCGTTCTCGACTTCTTCATGCCCTCTCTCATTCTCACGGCGGCGAGGTCGCGGAAAGGGAATACGAAGACGAATCACTCTCAGGAAACCAACAGCAGCAAAAAGTTTAGCTTCTACTTCTCGCCTTTCCAGATGTTCACGCCGTTCCGGTGCGCTTAAATGCAGTAGATCGAATCTTTCTGCCCCTCTTTTTTTTTAACGTTTACGTTTAAAACCGCCAAAAAGCTTCACATTAGAAAAAGAAAGTTCTGATGGACACAAACATGTTCACAGAGGAAACGAGTGGACTTCAAAGTATAAATAGATATCTCTGTATATATATAGAGAGAGAGAGAGAGAGACAAAGAAAGATATACTCACATATCTTCTCACTGGAAACGGTGAGCACCAAACACATGACCGGAACAGGAGCCGTATTACGTGTGCACGTGCGCGTGTGTCTTCATTCCACTCGATCACAGAACAGAAAACATCCCTCCCCTCTCCTCCCCACACGTACACACTGTCGATAGGTTTCTTTTCAATAATAGTAATAATAAGACAAACAAACAAAGGAAATACTTTTCTTTTATGTATGTATTATTATTATTATTATCGTTTAAACGTCAATTCCATGATGTTTCTCCCCACTCGAGATCGCTGCGACACACACACACACATGCTCAAGCGTCATACTTCATCGTACGCCATCGCCCACTTCCCCCCTTCTCAACACCTTCTACATTGTTCCGTGTGAGAAGGAAGGCACACACCTATCGGGAGGTGTGACTGCGCAGTCCGCTGCGTGGCCCCCGCCCATACCACACGTGAACGACGGACAAACAAACAAACCAACAACAAAACAACGTACTGCGGAGGTAAAGTACTCAACAACGTCAACGCCGTCAAACAACAGCACCCCCGAAAAAAAAACCCCCGTTTGAAAGCTGTGAAATCAAAGCGCCGGAGAACCATTCAAACAGTACGGTGATGAAAACACGCTGGGCATTAAAGACACGCACACAAACCCAACATCATAAAAAGCAGTTAAATCAAAAAATAAAAAATGAAGAGCTCAATGAAAAGGGAAGAGGAACAACAACGGAAAGAATAGCATTACAACTTCAACCAAAGAAAGAAGAAGAAAAATAGTTTTATAGCAGTGCGAAGGGCATTGCGCGGCGCTATTTAATATATATATATATATGATAAAAAAATATATCTGATAAAAACTATTTGCTCACTCATATACAAACATCCTTTTCGAGGTGTTCGTTTAAAGGGTGGTGGCTTAAAAGAAAGAAAAAAAAAGGGCTCTGCAACACACACAAATCCTGAAACAACAACAGCAGCAACACAGGCACCTTCACGTAAGAGAGATATTGCTGGGGGGAATGCGCAATGCCTGGCAGAGAGAAGGGCATCAAAGGAGACGTGTGTGTGTGTGTGTGTCTTCACAAACAGAAGAAAGAGAAAGTGAATCAATGCTGGTAACGGTAGATCTAAAAAAAAACCCAAACGAACAAGCGAAAGGCCCATGCTTATGCTCAACGAACGGATGAGGAGGGGCGGGAAGTCCACAAAGAAGATATAACCAAGACAGTAGCCAACGGAGACGGTGTCGAGAGGAAAAGAAGAAGGAAAGAGAATAATAATAATAATAACGATATTGCCGATAGGGAGCTTCGCTTCCTTGAACGCAAGAAACAGCAAAGAAAACAAAACAAAAATAATCGAAAACGAATGCTGATGACAGGACTTAGAAGGAAGGCGGAGCACCGTGGCAACTTCTACGAGGTGGAAGCAGGAGGGGAAAATATATGGAAAGCATTGCTTTGCAGAACGAAAAAACAAAAGGGAAGGCATCAAGTTAGTTTTTTCTTTTTCTTTTTTAAATGAAGGAGTGTGCTTCACAAGAGAGAAACACAGCCTAATGATACAGGGAAGAGGAAAGAGGAAGAACTAAGAGGCGTTAATACTTAGGAGTACAGATACTCGCACCTTAGACTACGCCAAAGCGTGCTCACGAGCGGTAAAATGATCTTAAAAAACAATATCAAGACACATTATATATGAAAAGATGAAAAGAAAGTGAGTTCATTGCTTTGAATCGAATCAAACAGAAGCATGAACGCAAGCAGGCGAACAATAGTTTTCTTTTACAGGGAATGACACAGCTACGCATGAGGAATCAAACAACGAAAGGGGAAACCGGAGGAAAGAATAAGCGGCGTGAAACCGAATTAGAATAATAAAGGCAGGAGAAGCTTTACAAAAAAGACGGAGGGAGAAAGGGAAAAATAATAACAGAAACAGCAATTTATAAATATAAATATATATATTTATAGAATCGTATCGAAACTCACCGCTGATCTCTACAAACGGAAAGAACAACCAAAAACAACAAAAACAGAAGGCAAAAAAAGGAATTGGGGGAAAACAACTTAGTGTCATCAGACCAACACACACACACACACACACACAAAGGCCGCGTGCCAAAGCAGCGGCAGTACGGGGAGGGAGGGGGCGGTTACTGTGCGGAGGTGAAATGGAAGATGCGGGAAAAGAAGGTGAGAACAAAAACACAAAACAAGCGCGTGTGCTTCGTCCACTCCTCCTCCGCACACTGCAAAGGGGAGAACGAACGGAGCAGCACGGCGGGAAAACAGCTTTCCCATTTTCACACAGTCATTATTAGCGTTTTTTTCTTTTCTTTTGCTCTCGCGCGCGTCTACAAGACTTCCTGACGGCTGCGCTTCCCTTCTTTTCCCAACAAAGAACGCCTCCCTGTTCCGGTCCTCTTCTTTCAAGTTTTCCTTTTTAATCGGACTTCTCCTTGGTGTCGCTGACTTGCAATTGCGAGTCATCATCTGTGACACCCTGCATCGTCTGCGAGAGGGCGTTGAAGTCCGTGATTTTTAGTTTTCTCGCCAGGCACTCGGAACGCGGGATCGGCTGCGCTTCATACCTCAGCTTGCAGCCCTTCAGCACGCCATCCAGGAACATCGCCGTCTCCAGCGGTCCCACCGTCACCTCCAGCACCTTCTCCCTCGTGCTCGCATTGATGGCCATCGTTGTGCTGCCCAGCGGCGTCACGTGGCTGTCCGCGCCGGCCGTGCAGGTGACTTTAACATTGTAGTCGTTCATATCGTTGTAGAAGGCCCAGCGGAATTCGTCATCGTTAATGATGCGGAAGAGCAGACCGTTGCTGCGGTTCTTGAAGCACTTGAAGAGGCGGTTACCTTTGTAGGTGGGCTTGCCGTTGAGAAATTCAATTTGGTCCTCGTTGAACGCGGACACCGCGCTCGTGGAGGCGCCGCGGAAAACCGAGTCACGCATGAAGTTGAAACGGCTCGTCTCCATGGAGGCGCACGTCTCGTTGGCCTCCTCGCGAGGACTCTCCATAATATAGAGAATAGTAGGCAGCATTTTTATTTTGAAGAAAACCCAAAACCAAAAAAAACCAGAAAACACACAAGTCGAGGAGCGTTAAAAGAAAATGAACAAATGGATGTATCAAATTACGAAGCCTTTCGCACTTCGAGATCAGCTACAACAGTTTAAAGAAAAAATCAAAACAGAAACAACATAGGACGAAGAGGAGGAACCAAGCGTCTTCCACGCTGTTCGTTGCGAAGACGGTGAAACCGCCAACTTCGTGATCGTCACAGATGAGGAAAGGAAAAGAGAGGGGTGGGGGGTAAGGAAATACCGGCGGTGATAAGAGAAAGCGAGTCGGGGGAAAAAGAAGAATACCGTCTTATGTATAAGAGGTACAGATGAAAGAAAGAAGAAGAGAAAACAACCAAACAAACCACAAAAACCAAAAGTAAAGCACAGAGAGGCGGACAATGATGATGATCGTTATATCAAATAGATGTGGACCTGAATGGAGATAGAGAAGGGGGAATCAACAACAGCCAAACGTTTGTGTTGATTGTCTACGATGGGGGGGGGGGGAAGAAAAAGAAATCAAGCTTAAGGAGAAAGGGTATTTTTTCCCGATTTTTGTCTGTGATGAGGAACGCGAAAGATCCAGCTGCATTGCAGCGGTGTAGCTGGATTCAGTAGATCAATATCGACGAGAGAGAGAGAGAGTGCGTAAAGCACGATTGCGTTGCTTCATTTTTCTTTCTCCCACCGTTAACAGTTCCGTATGGCAGATTCGAAAGACGCGCCCCAGCTTTTGTCAGCTTACGAGGCGCAAACGCCGAGCTTGCTCGAATCATACAAAAGCAGAAAGCGTTATCTGTCAAAATTCATATAAAACTGTGGAGGCTCTCCAATACGATTCACCGCACGCTCATTCATTTACTTTCTTTTCTTCCATTTCCCCCTTTTCTTTGAATAGAGTAAACAGCGGAACTCACTGAAGTACACAACGGATCAAAAGTATAGGTTTCCAAAAAAAAAAAACAATGTATAATAAAAGAAAAGCCACCGAGACGCGCATCGAATGAAAGTCAGACGTTTTCTGCCGGCTTTTTCATTTAGTTTCTCGAGTAAGCAGAGTATATAACAGAATCACCTGCTCACCGTAAAGATCACCACCTACCAGAAGGGGCACAGACCTGTGCCTCACTATACACATAAAACGGTCTTCCTCATGTCATAGAAAGCACTGCAATCATCAATGATAAAATATATCGAAATTCCACTACTAAACAAACCATTCAATAGACTTGACGAAGGGGGTGACCCGCCTCACGCTTCCCCGTTGGGTGGGCGGCGGAGTTCAGGGTTGGGCGGGTAGGGAAAAAGATAAAAATGTGACTTACTGCTAAATCCCAGCAGTTGAGAATGAAAAGGGAAAGGGAAAGGGAGAAAGAGAGGTAGGATGAATAATTACAAGGCTAGGTCATTCCATTCGCAAGCGCCTAGTAAAAAAAAAAAAAGAAACAACGTTAGTCACAGACTTTTGCCCTTTCGTGCTTATCCGCGGGAGCTGCATACTCCCTCTACTCACGGCCTATTGGAGCGACGGTGGCGAGAGGATGATCGGACAGCTCGCGAGCGTCACCGCCTTCCGTTGACATGTCCTCTGCGGTAAAAACCATCTTGAAGCCGTTCGGCTCGCCCTCGATAAACATCTCCGTCTGCGTCGGCGCGATGTGCAGTTCGAACTCGAACTCCGCCGTCCGTTCGTTCCGCCACGTCTTAGTGTTCATGAGGGGTTCAACCTTGCTGTCCTTGCCGAAGGAGACCTTCACCACCATGTTGTAGTTCGTCGTGTCGTTGTAGAACGCCCACCTGTACTCGTCGTTGTTGACGATGCGGAAGAGCAGGCCGTTTCCGTTGTCCTTGAAGCACTTCACGACGGTGTCACCCGTGTAGGTCGGCTGGCCGTTCTCGTAGTGGACCCTGTCCCCGTACATGTTATTACCTCTTTAAATTATACGTGTTCCGTCCACCGTCAACAACGAAATAAAAAAGAGCGAAAAAACGCATAAGCTCAGCGTATATGTGCATGCGCGTTGGTGTCTGTGAGCGCGAATGCGATGCGAGCCTCAACGTACCCGAGGGGTCGATGGGGCGACGATGACGGCAGGGCGAGAGGAAACAGGGAAGAGACGCATCTTTCATGACGCGACGATGTGCGAATGAGTGTGGTAAGGTCGTGGTCGGAGTTTGTTATGCAGAGCCCATCAATCCAAGGCAGAGTAAATAATAATATTAATAACACAAAGAGCGAAGGAAGCGGGAAACCGAGTTGTCGAAGGAGAAGATGAGCACGAAGGAACATGAAGGCTGCTTTGGCGACGAGAAACCCGAGCGGAGTTGCAAGAGCCGCTCCCTCCAAAAAAAAAAAGAGAAGAGGAAGCACACACACCACCCCCTCAAAAAAAAAAAGGAGGCCTTGCAGCGAACGAGGCGACTCTTGTGAGATCAGGGAAAAAACAACAACTGCAAATGCGGTCAAGATCACAGAAAATGGCATTGCCCGTCACCCCAGCGTCACACGGCGTCGCAGAAGGTGAGGCGCACGTTCATACGTACGCACAAGACGAACATAGAACCCCTTCTCTTTCCTTCTCTCTAGCGTTAACATCGACTTGCCTTCGTCACTTCCTTTTTCCTTTTTTTACAATTCTTTTCACCATCTCTGTTTGCGCTCACGCTGCCGCATAGAAATGCCACAAAGCGGGAGAGAAAAGAAAACAAAAACCAATAACAAATGATAATAATGAAAACAAAAGGACACACATACATACATAGAGATATATGTATAAATATGTATGTACTTATGAAGAACATGAGCCGCACGGGAACAGAAAATCAATAATAGAGAAACAAATAGAAGGTACATACCAAAAAAACAAAGAAAGAAGGGAGATGAAAACACCTGCACGAAGACGGGAGGGAAAGGGAAGGGGGGGGGGACGAAGAAAAAGGCACAGCATTCCACCATACGACGAGATGTGTGTATGTATCAGACAACCAAAAAAAACCTAGCGCTGACACACACACACACACGTGGACTCGTACAAAGGATCGAAGAGCGTGCGTGTGGGTGGTTTGGTTCGTGCGCGAGCGTGTGTGTGTGTGTGTGCCGAAGAAAAACACAGTCTTGACAGAGCGAGAAGAAGAAGAAAACGGGAAAGCGGAAAAAGCACGCAGATAGAAGCGTCATCGAATGAATGAAACACTGAGAGAGAGAGAGAGGAGGAAGAAGAAAAAACTCTGGTGGAAGTGGAACAGCACAGCAGGAGTTTTTTCTTCTCTCTTTCTCTCCTTTCTCTCCTGCCTTTCCGGAGAATCTACAATAAATAATAAAAGAAGAGAACAACGCAATGACAGCAGCAACATGATAAAAAAGAAAAACACTGCTGCTTGCGCACCTTCGTTGCCTGAGGGTGCGGAAAATAAATAATAATAATAATCAAGAAAAGGCCCCGTTCTGTCGAGCTTTCCATCCGTTTCAGCGCGTCGCACCGTTCTCACACACATACAAAGACAAAGACGATCATCCTCTGGAACGCCTCCCCTCTTTCTTTTTCTTTTCCTTTTTCCGCTCCTTTTCTTTACAGCGCCACAGCAGATGTCTGTGGTCCGTGAGAAAGAAGACGGAAGGTAACGCCCGTACGCACGCACAAACACACATACACACACGCAGGAGGTTCGAATGTTTGCCGACTTCACCCAACGAATAATGCACTTTTTCTTCCCGCTTTTCATTTTATTTGCTTGGTCATCGTGGAGGAGTATTTTTGTTTCCTTTTACGCCTTCGGGATCGGGTTGGCCTCGAAGCTGATCTTGAAGCCGTTAGGCTCGCCCTCGATAAACATCTCCGTCTGCGTCGGCGCGATGTGCAGTTCGCACTTAAACTCGCCGCTCTCCTCGTCCTTCTCCATCTTCGTGTTGCCGAGCGCCTCGATCTTGCTGTCCTTGCCGAAGGAGACCTTCACCACCATGTTGTAGTTCGTCGTGTCGTTGTAGAACGCCCACTTGTGCTCGTCGTTGTTGACGATGCGGAAGAGCAGGCCGTTTCCGTTGTCCTTGAAGCACTTCACGACGGTGTCACCCGTGTAGGTCGGCTGGCCGTTTTCGTAGTTGATCTCAGACATGGTGGAGTCAAGAAGAGAATAGAAAAAAACCGGTATTGAAGTTTGAAAAGGAAAAAATGTGAGAGCACAGTAAGAACAGAAAGTTTGCCTTTTTGAGGTTGGAAGGGAGGGAAAGTTCGAAAAATTCTATATTGCGGTGTTGAGCAGAGAGCGATGAAGGGTCCATGAATGGTAGAAAAAGTAAGGCGAGAAGAAGAAAACAGCAAGGGAGGACGCAATTCAGATAGCAACGTAGTTGATCCAAGATTATCGCGCATGGAAGCGCTTCCACTCCTCCTCCCAAAAAAATGTGTTGCTCGTGTGGATGCATTGGGCACTATCACAAAAAGAATAAACAATAGTAACCGCGGAGACCTCAAAAGCCGGGCAAGTCACGCCCGTGAAGACACGTTTTTTTCCCCTCAGGAAAAGTAACGTTCATCGTCATTCTTTATCGCTATCAACAGTGCATTGAGAATTTTTGCTTAGCTTGCTACGCAGTCATATATATATATATATATATATATATATATTTCTTTCCCTGTTCCCGCCATGTGTGACGCTTGGTCCATGCGTTGTACGGCTCTTCTGCCACGCTGCTCCTTCAGCGGCGCTTGCATCGAAGCGCGCACTCCCCTCTCAAAAGAATACGAATAATAATGATAATGACGACGAGCGCGAAGGGACGAGAAGGAGGGGCTACAACAACATCAGGAAGAATGGAAAAGATAAATCAAGAGAACAAGAGAGAGAGAGAAGAAAAACTTTTTTTTTAGTTGGCGTTTTGGCTTTAAACGACAACAACAGGAAAAAAAAGAAGGGCGGTCAACCGCGTTTCGTTCGCTCTCAAATCCTAAAAGAATAATAATAAAGGAAAGACATCAAAAGCAAAGGTGAAGGAAATCTTTTGACGCGTTGCCGGAAATAATCATAATAATGGTGAGTACCGCTACTTTTGATGTGACGCAAAAGGCTCCGTCGCCGTCTCTTCCCCGCAGTGGAACTGCGAAGAGGAAGGGGTGTGTTGTATTCAAGAATCAAGAAAACAAACGACCAACAACAATAACAGCAACAGCAAGAGTCGCTTTTCCCTCTGCCGCGGCAGGACGTATCGGTTGTTGTTGCTTCACCTGCGCTCTCCGCTGACTATAGCACCCCTTTTTGTTTGTCAGTAAGTGGAGGAGAAACGGCCTTCGCGTCCAGCCCAAGCCCTCATCCCCTCAAAAAAAACCATATTTTTATCGATAGGTAGATAGATAGAAAACACCGACACACACGGCGATAGGGTGATACACACAAGTAAAAAAGAGGGAAAGAAAAACGACGATCACTCGATGTTGCGGTGGCGCGCCTCCATCGCGTCGTGGCTCTGACCCACCTCCTTCTCCAACATCATCACGATCACGTCGAACAGCAGGAAGAGGTGCTGCTCGAATAAGTTGCCCATGGGTTGGTCGGAGTGGACGACGTCCGGGCACGTGCCGCGGTAGACCATTGCGGGAATGAAAAGCGTGTGCTTGACGTCCTTCGGGCAGCGGATCGGGTCGCCGGTGATCATGGCAATGTCGACACCTGTCTTCTTAGCCTGTTCGTATACGTACATCACGTTGCCGATCGCACCGGAGCCGTTGACGCAGATGAAGAGGTCGCCGGGGTGCATGCCAGGAGTGGTGTCGTCCCACAGCCAGTGCACCTTCTTGCCGAGGTGCGTCAGGCGCATGGCGAAGGAGCGGGCGGCGATGCCCTCACGGCCGCAGCCGAGCACGAAGACGCGTCCGTCGCAGCTCTTGATGGCGTCCATGAAGGCGCGCAGCTGTGCCAGGTCCTGCTTGGCGAACACCTCCTCGTGCTCGCGCAGCAGCGTCGTGTAGAGACCCTGGTAGGTCTTTTCCATAGTCGTGTAGTGAGTTTCCAATTGTTTCTTTGTTTTGTTTGGGGAGGGGGGGGGGAAGGGTACGGAGGAGGGGGAAAGGTGTACGTGTGTGATGCGACTCGTTCGTCAAGAGGCACGGTGACGGTGGCGGCTTTGTTGGTTGGGCTCCGGCTTCTCTTGTCTGTGATGTGCAGTCGAAGAAGAGAAAACAACGAAAGAAAACCCCAGCTCGGGAGGAGGGAGGGACGTTGAAAACGTACGTAGCGATGATTTATGTATTGAAATAGAAAGAGGAGGTCGTTGTCGCGCAACGGAGACGAGAGCAGAAGACGGAAGAACACCAAGCACGCTCTCTCTCTATCCGTCCATCGTTAGCTCGCATGAGGTGAAGGGGAGCTGCAAACTCGTCAGCATCGATTTCAGCTGCCGGCGTTTTCTTCCTTTTTTCTTTCTTTCGTTCTTCTGCCTTCAATTCGTATCGCGTCGGTGGTGAGGGTGCCTCCGCTCTTTTCCTTCCCCCCTTCCCCC